TCTGGCCTTACATTTAGGTCTTTAATCCATTTTGAGCTTATTTTTGTGTATGGTGTTAGGGAGTGATCTAATCTCATACTTTTACATGTACCTGTCCAATTTTCCCAGCACCACTTATTGAAGAGGCTGTCCTTTCTCCACTGTATATTCCTGCCACCTTTATCAAAGATAAGGTGACCATATGTGCATGGGTTTATCTCTGGGCTTTCTATCCTATTCCATTGATCTATCTTTCTGTTTTTGTGCCAGTACCATACTGTCTTGATTACTGTAGCTTTGTAGTATAGTCTGAAGTCAGGCAGCCTGATTCCTCCAGCTCCATTTTTTGTTCTCAAGATTGCTTTGGCTATTCGGGGTCTTTTGTGTTTCCATACAAATTGTGAAATTTTTTGTTCTAGTTCTGTGAAAAATGCCAGTGGTAGTTTGATAGGGATTGCATTGAATCTATAGATTGCTTTGGGTAGTAGAGTCATTTTCACAATGTTGATTCTTCCAATCCAAGAACATGGTATATCTCTTCATCTCTTTGGATCATCTTTAATTTCTTTCATCAGTGTCTTATAATTTTCTGCATACAGGTCTTTTGTCTCCTTAGGTAGGTTTATTCCTAGATATTTTATTCTTTTTGTTGCAGTGTTAAATGGGAGTGTTTTCTTGATTTCACTTTCAGATTTCTCATCAGTAGTGTATAGGAATGCCAGAGATTTCTGTGCATTAATTTTGTATCCTGCTACTTTACCAAATTCATTGATTAGCCCTAGTAGTTTTCTGGTAGCATCTTTAGGATTCTCTATGTATAGTATCATGTCATCTGCAAACAGTGACAGCTTTACTTCTTCTTTTCAGATTTAGATTCCTTTTATTTCCTTTTCTTCTCTGATTGCTGTCCAAAACTATGCTGAATAAGAGTGGTGAGAGTGGGCAACCTTGTCTTATTCCTGATCTTAGTGGAAATGATTTCAGTTTTTCACCATTGAGGACGATGTTGGCTGTTGGTTTGTCATATATGGCCTTTATTATGTTGAGGAAAGTTCCCTCTATGCCTACTTTCTGCAGGGTTTTTATCATAAATAGGTGCTGAATTTTGTCGAAAGCTTTCTCTGCATCTATTGAGGTGCTCATATGGTTTTTCTCCTTCAGTTTGTTAATATGGTTTATCACATTGACTGAATTGCGTATATTGAAGAATCCTTGCATTCCTGGAATAAACCCCACTTGATCATGGTGTATGATCCTTTTAATGTGCTGTTGGATCCTGTTTGCTAGTATTTTGTTGAGGATTTTTGCATCTATGTTCATCAGTGATTTTGGCCTGTAGTTTTCTTTCTTTGTGACGTCCTTGTCTGGTTTTGATATCAAGGTGATGGTGGCCTCGTAGAATGAGTTTGGGAGTGTTCCTCCCTCTGCTATATTTTGGAAGAGTTTGAGAAGGATAGGTGTTAGCTCTTCTCTAAATGTTTGATAGAATTCGCCTGTGAAGCCATCTGGTCCTGGGCTTTTGTTTGTTGGAAGATTTTTAATCACAGTTTCAATTTCAGTGCTTGTGATTGGTCTGTTCATATTTTCTATTTCTTCCTGATTCAGTCTTGGCAGGTTGTGCATTTCTAAGAATTTGTCCATTTCTTCCAGGTTGTCCATTTTATTGGCATAGAGTTGCTTGTAGTAATCTCTCATGATCTTTTGTATTTCTGCAGTGTCAGTTGTTACTTCTCCTTTTTCATTTCTAATTCTATTGATTTGAGTCTTCTCCCTTTTTTTCTTGATGAGTCTGGCTAATGGTTTATCAGTTTTGTTTATCTTCTCAAAGAACCAGCTTTTGGTTTTATTGATCTCTGCTATTGTTTCCTTCATTTCTTTTTCATTTATTTTTGATCTGATTTTTATGATTTCTTTCCTTCTGCTAACTTTGGGGTTTTTTTGTTCTTTCTCTAATTGCTTTATGTGCAATGTTAGGTTGTTTATTCGAGATGTTTCTTGTTTCTTAAGGTAGGATTGTATTGCTATAAACTTCCCTCTTAGAATTGCTTTTGCTGCATCCCATAGATTTTGGGTCGTCGTGTCTCCATTGTCATTTGTTTCTAGGTATTTTTTGATTTCCTCTTTGATTTCTTCAGTGATCACTTCGTTATTAAGTAGTGTATTGTTTAGCCTCCATGTGTTTGTATTTTTTACAGATCTTTTTTCTGTAATTGATATCTAGTCTCATAGTGTTGTGGTTGGAAAAGATACTTGATACGATTTCAATTTTCTTAAAATTACCAGGGCTTGATTTGTGACCCAAGATGTGATGTATCCTGGAGAATGTTCCATGAGCACTTGAGAAAAATGTGTATTCTGTTGTTTTTGGATGGAATGTCCTATAAATATCAATTAAGTCCATCTTGTTTAATGTATCATTTAAAGCTTGTGTTTCCTTATTCATTTTCATTTTGGAGGATCTGTCCATTGGTGAAAGTGGGGTGTTAATGTCCCCTACTATGAATGTGATACTGTCGGTTTCCCCTTTTATGGCTGTTAGTATTTGCCTTATGTATTGAGGTGCTCCTATGTTGGGTGGGGCTTCCCTGGTGGCGCAGTGGTTGAGAGTCCGCCTGCCGATGCAGGGGACATGGGTTCATGCCCTGGTCCGGGAAGATCCCACATGCTGCGGAGCGGCTGGGCCCATGAGCCATGGCCGCTGATCCTGTGCGTCCGGAGCCTGTGCTCCACAGCAGGAGAGGCCACAGCAGTGAGAGGCCTGTGTATCGCAAAAAAAAAAATCTATTACATTTTTTATGATTATTCCAGGTATATCAAAGAATTATTGTTCCTTTAAATACTAGTCTTATGTCTGGGCTGTTTTCCTATTCTCTTAGTCTTCTTAGTTGGTTTTTCAGGTTTCTCAGTGTGTGTATTCATGTTTCGTATCTGTGTTCTTTCTAATTAGATTGTAGTCTCATTGCATACCAGCAAGAATAAGCTGGCTATATTATAAAATGTATCATTCTCCTATTTGGGGCCTGCCACATCCTAGGCACTGAGAAACTTGGTGAATTAATGAATTATGTTAATACATGGGAATGCGTGCCTTGTTTTGAGTGGGAAAGCTCGATTTTTACAAGATGGTAGTTCTTCCTACTTATTGTATAGTTTACATGAAGCTTTATTTAAATCATTGTTTAGGTGAAATGATTCTGAATATTGGTAAGAATAATGTTGAAATGTTTTAAAGATTTATATACTATGGGAGACTGGCAGAATTGATGTTTATATTATAAACTTTTTGTAATGAAAATACTGGCATAGTATTAATGAAACCAGAGTAAAAGAAAGTCCTGAAACTGTCTTGAGTATGTGTAAGTAATAATTATATCTGTATGTATAGATATATGTGTGAACTTGGTATATGATAAAGTTGCCATTTAAAGTTCTTCTTTCAATACAAAAATGTTTGTATTGACTTTTTTTGACTTAAAGAATTAAATGTAAAAGTGTATGAAACTGTAATAAAGGAAAATACAAAGTTTATCTAATCGAGGTTACAGAAGAACTTCTTAACAAAGAACTTGATGGGAAAGATTGTTAGATATAGCTATGAAAAATCAAAACATCTTTGTATCAAAACTGGAATTAAAGACAGTAAAATGGAATGGGGAGACTAATGAAAAATGGGCACAGAAATTCATAAAAGACGGCCAACAATATATAACAAAATATTTAAACTTTTAATAGAAATGCAAAATAAACTAACCAGAGGAGCATGGGTTTCTTAATCAGAATGGTAGAGATATTGTAATTAGTGATGGTCTATATTGGCAAAGACATGTACTTCTGATGAAAGTACAAATTGATAAAACCCTTTTTGAAGGTACTTTGCTCAAGAGTCTTTAAAATATGAATATTCTGGGACTTCCCTGGTGGTCCAATGGTTAAGACTCTGCTCTCTCAATGCAGGGGGCCCGGTTTCAATCCCTGGTCAGGGAACTAGATCCCGCATGCCGCAACAAGGATCCCGTGTGCCACAGCTAAGACCGTCTGTGGCCAAATAAATAAACATGTTTAAAATAAAAATAAATAAAGTATAAATATTCTTTGATCCAGTAACTTAGTTTTTCAATTACTTGGTCACAAGGAAATAATCTTTTAAGTCTATCTGATTGCATGAGGGAATGCTCGCAGTTCCATAATGCTAAGTGAAAACACTTAGATCAATTTTGATCTCAATTTATGTTATACACATAGGAAAAGATTGAAAGAAATGACCAAAATTGATAGTCATTATCTCTTAGGATTATCAGTTCTTTTCTTTGTTGTATTTTCCTCTGCTTTCTACAGTGAATATGTATTATTTTATAATCAAAAGCTTTTTGAGGGGCAGAGTGCTTAGGTTTTTTTTGGAGATCAAAAAGAAATAGTCCTTTATGTGCTTGACTATTTTTAGCTCTATAGTTGGATTCTGCATGTGATCCTATTAGTAAAACAGAAAATATTTATAGTTAATAATGTGCCTTGGGACAGTTTATGAATTTTGTATGATTAGCTAAATATTTTTACTGTTTTATAAAATCTTTGAAATGTTTTTACCATGGCATTTTTTGTTTGTTTGTTTGTTTGTTTTTTTTTTGCGGTACGCGGGCCTCTCACTGTCGTGGCCTCTCCCGTTGCGGAGCACAGGCTCCAGACGCGCAGGCCCAGCGGCCATGGCCCATGGGCCCAGCCGCTCCACGGCATGTGGGATCCTCCTGGGCCAGGGCACGAACCCGGGTCCCCTGCATCGGCAGGCGGACTCTCAACCACTGCGCCACCAGGGAAGCCCTACCATGGCATTTTTTACTTGAGTACCTAGCACATTTCAGAGACTCAAAAGATGTCTTTAAATGGAGTTTTTTAAACAATTACCATGTGATGATAATTCCCAAAGAGTGATCCTCCATCAATTTTATTTTTTATTTAGATGAATTTATTCTTTTTCAGTGAACTTTTTCTGTATGTATTATAGTATCCATGTTTGTATTTGGCAGCTATATTTTCTGCTCTGAAGAATCTTCAAGATAAAATTCGACGTTTAGAACTTGAAAGGATTCAGGCAGAAGAAAGTGTGAAAACCTTGTCTAAAGAAACAATTGAATATAAGAAAGTACTGGATGAACAGATACAAGAAAGGGAGAATTCAAAGAATGAGGAATCAAAGCACAATCAAGGTTTGTTTAATTATGAAAGAAATGAAACACTATCAAAATAAGTATTGTAAAATCACTGTAAAAGAAATTCCACATTAGTGTTTTCTAGTGCTTAGTGTCTTCAAGCACTACAAAATTACATTTATATTTGGGAGCATTTTGTGGAACAAGTGCTGATGTCCTGTATTATATTTACTGTCAGAATTCAAGGCAGATTAGACTAACATACAGAAAGAAAATGACTTAGGTCATCTGAAAAGGCTTCTAGAGCTACTGGAAAATGTTTATTATATATATACTGTAGATTCATGTTAAGCAGCTTCTTAAAACTAATACTTCTGTGAGTGAGCTAATTTCTGCTTTTCTTATGAATTCTTTTTAGAGCTGACATCTCAGCTGTTAGCTGCAGAAAATAAATGTAATCTTTTAGAAAAACAATTGGAATATATGCGTAACATGATAAAGCATGCAGAAATGGAGAGGACATCTGTATTAGAGAAACAGGTATGTTACTTCATAGAGTCCCTCTCAAGAAAAGTTAGTTATAGAGAAAATTAAGTTGATATAAAGACCTTTTTTCTCAGTGAGGACTGATGGTGCTATTACAAATAATCAATTCTCCGTCCATCTTAAAAGGTAATAGTACCAGTAGTTCATTTTGAGAAACTGCTAGTGGAAGCTTTGAGAAAAATGTGGTTTGTTTTTTCAGTGAAGCAAAAAGAGGAGTTTCCTTTTTGGATGACCCTCACACACACTGCCATATCCTCTACACACAGCTTTGACAGCTTCTGCTTTGGAACAGTACAACAGCACAGGACTGAAATTACTTGGAATCAGTTATGGTGTCTGAAGATTTGATTGGTCTTCATTGTTATTGCTGTATTTGGTAGAGTTTTACTTAAATTGGAAAAATACACATTTAATTGTGTTTTCTTTTCAAGTCATGTTAACTTCTTTGTACATTATCAAAAGTATAAATAAGCATATTATGTACCTCTCTGCTTCTTGAATTTTGTTTAAAGACTCAACTCAGGTAGCACATTTCAAGGTTCTTTATACTTTGAAAGACTTTTTTACAGTTGTTATTTTAACAAAAATATTTTGCTCTGTCAAACCAGAGGTATTTTAAGTAATCTATGCATTTACAAGAGGACATCTGCAATATCAGTCTCGAATATATTTTTTTAAAACATACCTCCTTTTCCTATTATGAATATAGAATTTGAATTCATCCTGAATACCACAGTTCCTGGGCATCTTAACTTTATTATGCAAAAGTTGAATGTTTATATGCTTAATATTTTGCTGGGTACTCTGCAGTGTGAAAGAAATTAAATGCTTTCCACCTCAGTCAGCTTTCAGTCATAGTTGGAGATATCAAAGAAATATTTGATTGCACAACAGTATTTAAGAGGATGTTTCAGCAATTTTCATTTGTATTATAGGTCTCTTTACTATGCCATTGAGTTTATTTGTGACCATATTTTTTTGTTTCCAGTTGGGTCCTCTTCAGTCCCCCTATTTTTGTTATTATTTTCATGTACCATTACTTTGCTTTTTATTCCTTCATTTTATCTCTTTGAACACTATAAAAATTCCCAGTCTTGAAATCATTTTTTTTCTTATGAGAACTGTATACATAAATATATTTTTTTATGATGAACTCTTATTCTTTGGAGTTGTTTATCTTGGGAATTCCATACTTCGAAGTTGTGTAGGCAGCCTTATGAAATGGTTGTGGATTTGCCTTTGCTGGGGCTTGATGGGTTTCCCTGGTTCTGGTCTGCATTTATGATAATTTGTTGGCTTTGGGCTCCTGCATCGTGCAGATGGTACGTTGCCTGAGATTTATGTCATGTTCCTTGTGTATCTTATACACCAAGGCTATAGTCTTGCCTCGTGTAATATTTGGCTTAAGTATTACTTGCTTTTGATTTTTCTTTTTTGCATCTGAAGAGTTCCCTTTCTTCAAACTTGCTATGCAATTATTATTATTTCTGTGTTTTCTCTGACACTTTTATGTGATGGATGGGGTTGGGAAAAGGATGGTGAGTTAAATCTGATTGGAAATGGCAAAACGTTACATACAGTAATACGCAGTTCTCTTCATTGGCATATTTCTGTTCTCGGGTTAGAAAGCATCTGTAAGACAACCGTGAGATGTCTTGACTAATATTGATATAGCTGTTAGACATATATATATATATGTCTTTGAATTAAGCCCTGTTTTCATCAGTAAAGTTTGATTAGCCCATTTTATAAGAGTGTTTCCAATACTGGAAGTGAAGTGTGATTTGTGCCAATATTTAACTCAATGTATTATTTCAAGGGCAGTAACTATCTGCTAAGATAGGTAGGAGGAAATTAGTAGCTCACACAAATTCCTGAGAAATTTATTGGTTTGTATTACTTTGTCATATTCAAATTTCTGTTAGTATGATACCTATTGCTATAGACTTGTATATGAAGATACACTGTTTACAAGTTCACGTGCTTAATGTTTTGCTTTTTACCAGTAGACCTCAGTTTAGCATACTTCCACTTCTTATCCTAGTTTAACGGTTTATCCTGTGGCTGTCAGTCCTTAAATCTGATAGGTGGCAGTCTTTTCAAATCCTTGACCCTAAGCCTGAAAAAAAAAAAATGATGGATGTTTTGCGTAGAATTCAGAGGAAGTGTATATGTTACATACCAAAACTGTGATTATTGCCTTAATTAAGAGATTAACTATGTTAGAGAACCAGACTAATTACAACTATTTGTGTGTAGCCTATATGTCTAGTAAATACCTTCATTCAGAGCGTATTAACAAGTCTTAGTATAGAGAACCAAATGTTATAATAGTATGTAATAAGAACAAGATTTCACTTGTATTTGTTAATTTTCCTCTGGTTTCATCTTAATATTGTTTTTCTGGAATTCCTCTGTAGTACCTAAGTAGTTGTATGAAAAGCCAGACAACATCCCTAGTACTTATTCTACTTGTAACTGGAAGTTTGTACTTTTTATTTTTTATTTTATATTGGAATGTGGTTGATTGACAATGTTGTGTTAGTTTCAGGTGTACAGCAGAGTGATTCAGTTATACATATGCATGTATCCTTTTTCAAATTATTTTCCCATTTAGGTTATTATAGAATATTTAGCAGAGTTTCATATGCTATGCAGTAGGTCCTTGTTGGTGATCAATTTTAAATATAGAAGTGTGTACATGTCAATCCCAAACTCCCAATTAATCTGTCCCCCCCACCTTTCCCCTTTGGTGACCATAAGTTTGTTTTCTAAGTCTGTGAGTCTGAAGAAACTTAGTATTTTTTTGATTTTTCAAAGGACTGATTTGTAAAAGTCAGTTTTACAATTGTCATGGTCATAGCCTACCTTTCTCAAGTAAAGCTGGTTAGTCTCATTTTAGGTTATCGGGTTTTTTGCCTGGTTACGTTTCAAGGTTTTATATGGTGAAGGAATCTCAGATTCCTTTTAATTTTTTCAGGGAATTTAGATTACTTTTGATTAAGACCTGTAGATCAGATACTTAGGATAGAAACATCATGAATGAAAAACTATTCATAGGAACACCTTTCTAAAAGTATTATTTTCACTTGTCCAACAAGTATTTATAGCCACTCCACTAGGCAAGTGGAGACCACAAAAATCAGAGACTACTGTGATTGTGTTTTATAGTCTTGTAGTATAATAACATATATGTAAGTATAAAATAGTACACTAAAAATATAAGAACTTTGAATAATCAAAAATAAATAAATAAAAGCCAGACAAGTAGCATAGTACTCTCAGTGTTAGTTTTTCAGTTTTTTGTCAAATTATTATGCTGTATTTAATATTGTTTCCCAGGTTTCCCTAGAAAGAGAACGACAACATGATCAAACGCATGTTCAAAACCAACTTGAAAAACTGGATCTTCTTGAACAGGAGTATAACAAGCTTACCACAATGCAGGCCCTTGCAGAAGTCAGTGAAAATCTTTTATACTTATCAATGCATAATATTGGTTCTTATGTAAAATTGGATATTTTATAGGAAAAAAAGTGACCTTGTAGCAAAGAAACATATAGGAGTTTTTTTAAAGGAAGAAATGTAAATTTGGCGAGAAAGTTCACATTTTATCATCTTAGTGTGCATAAGGAAGGAGTTCTTTTTGAAAATGTTGAAAGATGAAGTGTTTTTGAGTATCCTTAAGGCTTTATCACTTCGTTTTTGTTCTCTGAACTAATTTTAGTTTTTTGTTTGTTTGTTTTAAATTTTTATTAATTTTTGGCTGCATTGGGTCTTTGTTGCTGTGCGCGGGCTTTCTCTAGTTGTGGTGAGCGTGGGCTACTCTTCGTTGCGGTGCGCAGGCTTCTCATTGGGGTGTCTTGTTGCAGAGCATGTGCGCTAGGCACGCGGGCTTCAGTAGCTACAGCACGCAGACTCAGTAGTTGCAGCACGTAGGCCCTAGAGCACACGGGCTTCAGTAGTTGTGGCATGTGGGCTCAGTAGTTGGGGCTCGCAAGCTCTAGAGCTCAGGCTCAGCAGTTGTGACGCATGGGCCTAGTTCCTCCGCAACATGTGGGATCTTCCCAGACCAGGGATCAAACCCATGTCCCCTGCCTTGGCAGGTGTATTCCCAACCACTGCGCCACCAGGGAAGTCCTAATTTTAGTCTTCATTGATTCATTTGGGAAGTATTTAATACCACTGAGACTATAAAGTTTCAGATTCAGCTTCCGTGTAGCCCAGGGGTCCCCAACTGATGAGGAACCGGGCCACACAGCAGATGAGTAGTGGGTGAGCGAGCAAAGTGTCATCTGCTGCTCCCCGTCGCTCACATTACTGCCTGAACCATCCCCCCCGCCCACCTCATCCGTAGAAAAATTGTCTTCCATGAGAAACCGGTCCCCGGTGCCAAAAACGTTGGGGACCACTGATGTAGCCTATATGGCTTCATACAGAGGCTGTGTTCTTTGCCCGTGAATTTTACCCATAATTTTGTGGAATTGCAAAGGAGAGTCGTGGATAAAAATTTTACAAGTAGACACTGAAACTCTTTTCACTATTATCACTTTTAATATTTTTATCACTAGAAAAAAATGCAAGAGTTAGAAGCAAAACTCCATCAAGAAGAACAGGAAAGGAAACGTATGCAAGCTAAGGCAGCCCAGGTAAGTTGAAATGTGAGCAGGTAGGCTCCTCACATTTCATGCTACTCTTTATATATAAATAGATGTAGATGTGCGCTGCTTTGATTATTTATAATTTGGAATGATCCAATATATAAATTTGCAGACTTAGCTTAATATGGAAAACTATAAACATATTTTTACAGACAGAAAGTAAAAGCTGAGCAATTCTTTAGGGTTTTTTAAATTGTGGGCTTTCTATCAGCTTTATTATTTTTTTAAATCAATAGACTAAAAAGTATCAGCGACTGTATACATAATATAATATGTAATCATCTAAAACTTTTCACATTAGTCACTATTGGAAATGTTTGAAAGCCTCATTCAGTATCCTGCTTGTAAGTACTTCCCTTTTTGGGTGGCCTTGAGACACCAGGACAGTAGCTGAGGTAGTGGGCTACACAACAGGTGGTGACCCATACTAATTTACAAAAGCCACCATATAAGGAAAATGAGCTCTCCTCATTCCTAGCCTTGAATTTTTATCCCATGCAGTGGCCACCAGGTAGAATAGGTGAGGCGGTGTGAATTCACAGAATCATTGAATTTATATATACCAACTAGAACTGCATTTCTAGAAGATATAGCAACATTTCTATATCCAACAAATCTTACAGGCTAACTAAAATACTTCTGTTTATAACTGAAGACTCTCCCCATGTGAGCTTATTAATTCAAATACCTCTCGTTTATTGCCCCTCCCCTTCCAAAGTCTTTAAGTTTTATAACATTTGCATGTATCTTTTCTCATAATATTAACACAAGAAGCGGGTCCTGATTCCAAAACAATTAGGAGAGGAGGCTCTGCAGTTCAGGTTGTGGCCAGATGCCAACGGTGTCCTGGGCTCACTTCATAAATGTGCTCGCAGGACTATAAACATCTATTATCTCATCTTTGTTATCTTGTCTATTTTTTCCAGTGCTTCCCAGAATTCATTGACTTAACATATTCTCTTTCTATTAAACCCGATATATTTTCTTTCTCAAATATTTACCTTCTGATCCATTTGTATGTATTTTTTACCTCTCTGTGCTTTCTGAGTTATATAGTCATGTGGCTTTATTTTTGACCACCAACAAATTTTGAAATTACTTGATTTCTCTCCCCATTCCACTTTTTAGGGTAGGTAGGCCACTTTACTGTGCCTCTGTTTCCTCACTCATAACATGCAAACTTTAAAGTTATGCTTTATATACACTGTGGTGGTGAGTTCTACTATACATGAAATACAGAATTAACAAGTTCATTATTTTATGAATTTAAAAAATTATTTTGTAGTAGTTTTGGTTTGTATTTAGCAGGCAAAATGTTGGGACCAAATCAGTTATTACTGATAATATATCAGTAAAGGTTTTGAGTTCTGAGTTCTGATTGTGAACACTGTTGTGGTAGAACAGGGGCCGGGTTTGATACATGGTTCCAAGTCTAACCATAATTTGTGTAGTCCTGGGCAAGATGTGTAACCATTCAGAGCTTGAGATTTTACCACTGATACTGGTCTTTATTTTACATCTTCTTAATGTTGGAGAGATCCAACAAGAGAAAATATAATGAAAGCACTTACAAATGTTAAAACTCTGCCACACAAATATATGACAGCTACTGGGAAGAACTTAGGAAGTTAAAATAGTTCACATTTTTTTTGTTTTGTATACTCTTCAAACTCATTGGCTTCATAGGTCTTCCAGAGTAGTAATTTCATGTTCATGGAATTATGTCCATTCAGTTTACTACGTATAAAGCATCGTTAGATGTGTGGGAATGTAGACACTCCTGAGAGTAGGAATCCCTGTGTTCCTTTGTCACTAAATAAAATCTATCCCTAAAGAATGCAGTCATTGTGGGAAGCATTAGTAATGATCTCAGGATTTCTTTTAATTAATCCATTGGTTCTGAGTGTTTGAGCTCCATCATAATTTCCTGAAGAACTTTAAAATACTTTTAAAATATAAATTTCCCCAGCCTGGAATGTTTAAAATCATGACGTCTGGAGAGGCACCTGACAATCTGAATTTTCTCATAAACTCCAGACAATTTTGATACATAGGCAGGTTTGAAAACCACTATTCTAGACAAATACACATGAACACAGACACACATGAACACACACATACCTGTGTATATGTATGTAATTATATTTTTTAAGGAAAGTTGAAAACGGCAGTCCTTGTTTGAAATCCTTAGTAATTGTTTGTGGAATTTCTACCATATTAAATTAATGTAGTTACTAAGCTTCTAGAGAAAAGGGCTTGATAACATTATCTGATATACCACCCAGTTTTTTTGGACATAGATTTCCAGTTCCTTTTTCTTACATTGTTAAGTGTATGAGTTTTTAAAAGAGGAAGAAATTGTACTTTGTTCTCCAGCTGCTTTGTGTCTAACGCTGTTGTATATGCCGTGCGTGACAAGAAGAAAATGTTGAAACATTGGTTTGGAGTTAGAAATACTGCCTTTAACTCATTAGATATAATTTAAAGACCAACCTCAAATAAGGAGCTAAACGTTTCCAGGCTAAGTGAAAGGACAAATTATAGGACAGCACTTTAAGTAAATTGAAAGAGTGGTATTGATTTAAAATATTGGATAAATGTTGATGGATTGATTCCAGATATAGCTACACAGCTATGATGGGTTTTTCATTCTATACTATATGATACTACTGTAGGTTTTTTTAACAGGCCTTTACGTGGCAGATCTCAAATTTGAATCATAGCTTTTATTTCTACAGTATTAACTTTAGGCTCTCATATTTTTCCTAGTTGCAGACTGGTCTAGAAAGAAATAGACTTATCTTTGAAGATAAGGCAACTTCATGTGTTCCCAATGCAAAAAGAATTAAAAAAAAGAAGTCAAAACCACCAGAAAAGGTATGAAAAAAGAACCATTAAGTCAAAGTGCTGGTTATTACTTGGCATAGTTTATGTGAAAACACTTATAAACCACGTAGTACTTCAACCTTGGATGAGTAAATCTCTTTCATTCTTAGTTTCTTCATTGGGAAAATGGGGATAAGTAATATCTACTTCTAAATTTTCACCCTGACAGTGAGATAATATATATGAAAGTGTTAGAACTACACAGCACCGCACAAATGTTAGTTATTATTCAGTATCGCATTATCTTTTGCACTTAAAAGTTTGTGTATATACATATGCACGCGTGTGCACGCACACACACACACACACACACACACAGTTTCTCTACTGAGACTGTAACTGATGTTTTGTCAGGAACTATTTTTTCTTTCCTAGCCTTTCCTAGGCTAGGATATGTGTTGACGAGCTTTATTAGGAGCTCCAGACCATAATGCCAATAGAGATAAAACAAGCGGTAGCCCAGCAGTAAGCTGAAGTTTCAGGTTAGTCCTATATGGCCAGCTTTTATCATCATGTGAGTAAAATTGCTCTTCTTTTTTGTTTTCCATGCAGAAAGGTTCTAAGAACTATTTTGCTGCACAACCACATTATAGATTATGCTTGGGTGATATGCCATTTGTAGCTGGAAAGGTGAGTTGGTCGAACTGTGGCTTTTTTTGTACAACTTAGATCTTTGAATTAAATCCACTCATCTGCCTGTATACCTATAAATGGCAGGAATATTTTTTTGCTTTTTTACCAGTTGAATCATAGTGATGTGAGAATGAGATGAAGGAAAGTTTTATGGGACTGGGGGAGCACGGAGGAGACTGAGGGGACACTTTAAAGCAGGTAGAGTCTATGCAGAAGGGAACTTACGAGCAAAAGCAGAGACTCTGGTTTGCAGGAGGTGTGGTTGCAGATAGGAAATAGTATATTTGTAGCACTGGATTTTTAGGATCAGCCCTGTTGATTTGTATTTAGATATAGATATTGAAATGAAAAGAAGTCACATCTTCTTTGTCCTCACATGCTTATTACGTATAGGATTCATTCTCCAAGAAGCAGTCATACATAGACTTGAATCTTAAGTTCCTTTAGTGCTTAAAAATGTGGAGATGATAATTTTATCAAATATCAGCAAGTACTGGGTGATTTCTAAGAAGTGCTTAACATTGTGTTAGTTTATACCACTTTTTCATTAATGTTTGTGTTGCTGGTTATAGATGCCTTGAGTATCCAACCAGATTGTGAATTTGAGAAGCTTGAGGAGTAAATTTTAATTTTAGGTATTTATTTGTTTATTTTAACCCCACAGTAAATCCTCAGTGAAAGCTTAGGGAATGAACTATTTCCTAGCTTTTCCACTTGCCCTTTGTAGATGCATGCGGCCAAATCACTTTTAAAAAGTTTTGTCGTTGGCTTTCCTTTACCTTAAATTTAACCTCTTCTTAGATTGCAGACCATCTTTTGACCTACCAAGGTCAAAAGGTTCATCTTTGAACCTTTGTTCCTAACCAGGGTTCTTCTACTTTGCCACAGAATCTTTGAGTTGGGCTGGAAAGTTTCTCAAAGGATGACCAGCTGCATCAGAATCATTGACTATGCATCTGAAAAAGCAGATTACAAAGCCCCACCACAGTTCTGCTAAATCAGAATTTTCTGGGTGTGGGACCTAGAAAGTATAGTCAGTTGTTCCCGAGTCTCAATCTAATGTTCATTTAGATTTGGGACCCACTTAGTACAGTTCCCTGTCCAATGTTTTCATTATGTAAGCATCCAGAATAATGGTCATGTACTCTGTCCAAATACATCTACTGATGAGACCTTATTATACCCTCAAACAGCCCTTCACAGTTCTAGACAGCTTTATTTGAAAGTTCTTAAGTGAGATGAAATCTGTCACTGTAAATTCTACTCATTGGTATTTTTTCCTGCTCTCAGGGATCCACGTAGACCAAATGAACCCTTAACTATAGGAAAATTTTAAAACTTTAGAAAATAGCTGTATCTTTTTTTTAACCTTATATTGATAATAGATTAAGGGTTTTTGTTTTAATTAACTTTTTTGGCTGTGTTGTGTTTTAGTTGCAGCATGTGGGATGTTTGTTGAGGTGTGTAGGATCTTGTTGCGGCGCAAAAGCTCTTCATTGCAGTGTGCGGGCTTCTCTCTAGTTGTGGTGTGCCGGTTTTCTCTTCTCTAGTTGCAACACGCAGGCTCCAGAGCATGTGGGCTCTGTAGCTTGCGGCCCGTGGGCTCTCTAGTTGAGGCGCCCCGGCTCAGTAGTTGTGGCGCACAGGCTTAGTTGCCCCACAGCATGTGGAATCTTTGTTCCCAGACCAGGGATCGAACCTGCGTCCCCTGCATTGGAAGGTGGATTCTTTACCACTGGACCACCAGGGAAGTCCCAGATAGCTGTATCTTTATTCTCATCTCCTTATTCTAGGTTATAAATAATTCTTTTTCTTCAGCTATACATCATAAGATATGCTTTATGAGTTTTTTTTTTTTTTTTGCAGTACGTGGGCCTCTCACTGTTGTGGCCTCTCCCGTTGCAGAGCATAGGCTCTGGACGTGCAGGCTCAGCGGCCGTGGCTCATGAGCTCAGCTGCTTCGCAGCATGTGGGATCTTCCCAGACCGGGGCACGAACCCGTGTCCCCCACATCAGCAGGCAGACTCTCAACCACTGCACCACCAGGGAAGCCCTTTATGAGTTTCTTAACCATCTCCTCACTCCCTTCCTGAATCGAATATAGTCCTCTAAATGTGGTGTGACTAGCACTGGATAGAGAGTCTTGGTCATCTTCTGGATAGTCTCTTAACTCAGCCTAGTATCACATTAATGTTATGGGGAAGCCACAGCATCCCTTTCACTCATTAATTCTAGAGTCATCTGAAGTAACAGGTCTTCTACTTAGTCTTAGCATCAGCCTCTCTAGGTCCTATACTTGTGGAGTTGATTTTTTTATACAGAATTTTTAATCAAATGAAGCACTATAGGAATTGATTCACCCTATCCCACATTAGATTAGAATCTAGTTCAGTTTTCTGTTATGTATGTTATCCCCAAACTTAATTTGCCTATCTTTGGTAATTCTCACTGAAGTCATTAATACTTGAACAGGACAGGTTCAAACATAGGGCTTTTCAACCTGAGGTCTTCTTTTGAAGGTGTAATTTGTACTTTTTGTGAAATATTCAAACAGCTAAGAATGTGCTGTCATCTGAGCGTTTCCCAAACTTATCTGTTGTGGAGGATCAGTTTTTATTTTTATTTATAGAGTCATAAACCAGTACATTTGTAAAGTGAAATAAAGGTAAATTACTAGAAAAAATTAAATTTAAAAGACAAAATACACTTTCCAATTTTTTTAATTACTAGATTCAAGACATAAAATTTCCTTAATAAATAGAGTCAGAAAATTAACAGGAAAAAGAACTTCAAGATTCTTTTAGCCCTTCTAGTTCCTTTGCCTTTCCATGTGAATTTTAGAAAAAACTTCTCTACCAAAGAAAAGGTCTTGCTGGAATTTTGATAGAAAATGTATTAACTTGGGAGGATTGACATCCTTGTTGAGTCTTTCAGCCCATGAGAATGGTACATCTCATACTTATTTAGATCTTTGATTTCTTTCATCAGGATTTTCATCATACTAGTCCCATTCCTGTTTTATCAGATTTATATACAAATTTTTTTGAGCAATTGTAAATTGTGTTGTTTTAATTTCAGCTTCTACATGATCATTTTAGTATATTTGAGTTTTTATGTTAATCTTATATTCTGTGACCTTGCTGAATTCACTTATTAGTCCTAGGAATTATTTTTTGGATTTACGTAAGCTTTTCTATGTGAAGAATCATGTCATTTGTAAATAAGGATAGTTTATTTCTTCCTTTTTAATTTGTGTGCCTTTTATTTCCTCTTGCCTTACTGCACTGGCTAGGATTTCCTGTATCATGTTGTAAGTAAGAGTGATGCGAGTGGATATCCTTGCCGTTTTGCTGATCTTCAGGGCAAAGCATTCAGTCTTTCACCGATAAGTATGATATTAGCTGTAGGTTCTTTGTGCTCTTTGTCAACTTGAGGAAATTTCTCTCTGATCCTGCTTTGCTGAAAGTTTATACCCTTCATGGGTGTTGGATTTTTTCAAATGCTTTTCTTCATCAAATGATATGGTTATGTGATTTTTCTTCGTTACCTTGTTGATATGCTGGATTACATAGATTCATTTTCAAACATTGAACTAGCTTTGCATTCCTGGAATAAACCCCACTTGGATGTGGTATATACATCTTTGTATATATATTACTAAATTCAGTTTGCTACCTAACAACAAAAACCAGGATAAAAAGAGCATCTGTTTAGTTTAGCTGAGTGGTTTGTAAACCTGGCTGATTAGAATCAACTGGCACACTTTTAAATGTACATTTCTAAGCCTTGACCACACACTGATTGAGTTTGGCATGCTACCTAGGAATCTGCATTTTAAACTTGCTTATGGAGCCAAGTTGGCCCAACCGTCTGTTTATAAATTGAAGTTGCACATTGAGACTTGTTCAGTGTTCAAAACAAAAACAAAAATTTTGAGAGGGCTACCAGGTTTTTCCCGTTGCTTATGTGACAAACATGAACTTAATGCTTCCTACTAGAGGACAGAGAAATGAATACGGTAATAGTCTGTACCACCTGGAAGTGCTTACACTACTTAATAGGTGAAAAAGACATGCAAACACAATTACAATATATTGTGATAAATCCTGTGATCGAGATAAATGCCATAGGTGATCTGAGAATGGGCCAATTAATTACCTGGATGTTTTAAGAAAGTCTTTACAAATCATGTATTTGAACTGGGTTTTTAAGAATGGTATAGGGGCTTCCTGGTGGCGCAGTGGTTGAGAGTCTGCCTGCCGATGCAGGGGACACAGGTTTGTACCCCAGTGCAGGAAGATCCCACATGCCGCGGAGCGGCTGGGCCCGTGAGCCATGGCCGCTGAGCCTGCGCGTCTGGAGCCTGTGCTCCGCAACAGGAGAGGCCACAACAGTGAGAGGCCCGCATACTGCAAAAAAAAAAAAAAATGGTATAAAAATTGGCACACAAAAGAAATGGCATGTGCAAATACAGTTCATTCAAATAGTGGAGAGGAGATAGTGGGACATGAGGCCAAGGTGTAGAAGTTGCAGCTTAGTGTTATAGGGCCTTGATTTCTGTGCTGAGGAGTTTGGACATTAGAGTCAACGAGCTTAACATTAACGGGTGTCAAATAGAAGAACGTGATCAGAATAATATTTTTGGAGGATAACTGATAGAACTATGGAGTTAGAGACTGAAGAGACTGGGAACAGGGGACAGTTGGGATGTTCATCCATAGCTAATAGAGGTGGGTGTGTAAGCCAAGTAGATAACACTAGGGTGGAGAGTAAGGGGAGACTGGAGATGCACTGTACACCAGGAGGTTTGTATCACAGGCCTTTCTGCGGAGGCGGAGAGGGTCTTTTTACCCAGGCTTAGGGGGGAGAGAGAAAACAGTTTTCTAGAGGATGTGGCTTCAATTACTTCTCTTCATTTTTCTTCAGTCCACCAGCCCTAGCCATGCTGTGGTAGCCAATGTTCAGCATGTCTTACATCTAATGAAGCAACACAGTAAAGTCTTGTGCAATGATCGAGTAGTCAGTAGTGTTCCTTTGGCAAAGCAAGTGTCTTCACGAAGTGGGAAAAGCAAGAAGTCAGCAACGCCTCGCCCCTCTAGCAGCATTAATGAAGAGCTGGCAGAAGTCTTAGAGACTTTACAAGATGAATTTGGGCAAATGAGCTTGTGAGTCTCAGTTTTTTCATTTTTTAGTTATATTTAGTTCTAAAACCTCATTAAACTTCTTGGTGACTAAATTCTTTCATATTTCAATATTTTAAGAAATATTTGTTGAACACAGTCCTTGCACCAACCACTAAACAAGTTACTAGGACTTTAACCAATACAACTGTTCTGGGTGAAATCTCTCCTTTTTCTATAACTGTTAAATGTTTTGGAGACCAAGGTTTACATTAAGTTTTATTTCCTTGTTTGGGAGCTTGATCTACATTGACTTTGGCTATACATAACTGATAAGTTAGGAAGTGAGTGTTTGAAGAACAAGATCCTTCTCTAGACTTTCCTTTTCTACATATGTAATGCTCTTGTGGGGGAGGTAGAGATATAAATAATAAGCGCTTTGAAATTAAGAACTCTTCTTGCATTTGCATCCAGTACCTTTTTTAAACTTTTACACTATCACTAATAATAGAAAAATTTGCTCTGTTTTTAAAAATTGAGTCTTTTTTAGGTCTGTTTTTGTTTTTATGTGGACCATTTTTTAAGTCTTTATTGAATTTGTTACAGAATTGCTTCTGTTTTTTTATGTTTTGGTTTTTTGGCCACAAGGCATTTGGGATCTTAGCTCCCTGACCAGGGATCGAACCTGCACCCCCCGCACTGGAAGGCGAAGTCTTAACCACTGGACCACCAGGGAAGTCCCAAAATTGAGTCGTTTTTTAATGCGCAGAGCAGTGGTCCCATGGTGAGTGAGATGTAGTGGACTTAACCAGCTGACACAGGAAACTTAACCAAGCTCTCCTTCTGTTTTTTATACAGTGACCACCAGCAGCTTACGAAACTTATCCAAGAATCACCAACCATGGAACTGAAAGATAACCTAGAGTGCGAACTGGAGGCATTAGTGGGCAGGATGGAAGCAAAGGCCAGTCAAATAACTAAAGTTCGAAAATATCAAGCCCAGGTAACTGTTTTCCTTAACTCGTTTCTAATAATTAAAAAACGAGTAAAACAGAACAAAACAACCCCTTTTCTTCAAATATGTTAATTGATGCCCTTGTAAGTATATCGTAGATAGAAAGCTACAGGAAGTATTTTTCACTGTAGACACTTAATTCATTGCATTAGTTATTAAGAATTGGTGTCAAGCAGGCTAAGAAAGAGGACACTGTCTTGAAGTCTCAGTAGATTTCATAATCTAAAATACATCTTCCAAGTACTGAATATATTTAATATTCTTATATGAACAAGCTTTACCTCTATGATGAGTTCAAATGGTTCTGAGTTTACCAAAGTCTTTTTAAAAACACCTAGAAATTCTTAATTTCTAAAGGAATAAATCAGATGTAAATACGTGAAAAAGATCTTTAGTTACATTTATGTTACTAATTATATTAATAAAACAACCATGTATTTAGTATCTCCTAAGTGCAATGGGAAGTCACACTCCAGGGTTTCTATTCAGAGAGAAGTGTAATGATTGGTGTATTTAAGAGAAGACTGTGACTGCCGGGAGGGGGTGGAGACAGGAGAGAGGCTGCGAGACCAACGACGCCATTTAAGCTTATCTTGATGAGAGGTCACCGGTGACTGCAGTTGGGGAGAAGTAGACAGATTTGAGGTGAGTCTTGGAAATAGAATTATCAGGGCTGCTTGCTGCTGGATGTCATGTGGAGGGAGAGGACGGTGGTACAGCTGACTGAAACGGAGAAGACTGGTAGCAGAACAGGTTGGCAGACATTTATTAATTGGTTGCTGTGTAATAGGCACAATGCTGAGTGCTCTATGTCATTTTATTTAATTTTCATGGAAGGCTTATGAGGTGAGTATATATTTCATTTTACAAATGAGGAAACTGGAGCCAAGGTCCTGGGAGGTGGGCATACCCTAAAATGAAATTATGTAACTGGCCCAAGGACATTACTGGCTCTCTGGTAAATGGCAGAGGTATGATGCAGACTGGGGTCTTTGCAACTCCAAAACCTAGCTTTTTAAGCATTTTTTTCCAAAGTTCACATACTAAAAATAAAAGAATACAAGCAAATGATTCCTATAGGGGTAATGATCTAATTTGTTTCCTGTACATTAGATTTAACTTTATTCTAATGGAACACCAGTGTGCCAGCAGCGATTTATTTCAGCCAGCAGCTAAAGTAAAGATAAAGCTCCCTATTTGAAATTATTCTAAAAAGTGAAATAATAAAATTAAAAATCCTTTTCATAGTATTAATACATTACCATTACATCCCTTCATCCATCTGCAATGTGCTTCTTTGTCTGTGCAGACTAGTTTCTAGGATGGCTTTCTCCTTCGTGTATTAAAATCTTGTCTTCCATTTCCCATGTCAGATTTTTTTGCCGCCTCCCTGAGACCTTCCCCCGAACTCCCTTGCTTCTCACTCACCCTGTGCTGCACTTTGGAAAGTCTTAACTTCTGATACAGCACCAGAATTGATGTGTTGACTCTTGTTTACAGGTGTTTATGTCACTATATATTTTAAACACTGTTAAATGACTAGTACAATAGATTTTTGAAGGCTTTAAAAATATAAACTCAGAATATATTATATGCATTTTAGTATGAGAGTTAGAAATACCAGTTTTCAGAAAAATATGTTTTTATTAATTTCTCCTTTTTTCCCTGCCTTGGTTTTTTGGTATAGCTGGAGAAACAGAAGTTGGAGAAGCAGAAGAGGGAATTAAGAACCACCAAAAAGACTCTTGATGAAGAAGGAAACAGCAGCAGCCGTTCTTCTGCAACCACAGGGACCACAAATAAGAAGGACTTTGCCAAACCGAGACCTGGAGAAAAAAGCAGGAGAAATCTTCAGTTATTGAAGGACATGCAAACCATACAGAATTCATTACAGAGCAATAGTTTGTGTTGGGATTACTGACTGGTACCAGGTCATAAATGTTATTCACATAATCTGTACCTCATCAATCAGATGTTGACAGTTTACTTTCCAGGTCTCATACTCTTACATTGGAATTAATTAATAGCAGGTATTAAGGGGCCCAAGCTTCATTACACAGGCTTCTTGTGTTACGTATCACAACTAAATGTTAACCCATCTAAATGGAAACCAGGGGAGTTTTAAAGGCCAAAAAGCCACACATACTCTGTTTCCTGTTTGAGATGAATTTGCTGTACTGAGATATTGCACTTTGTAAACAAATTACCAATTTTTTACTTGTGGGTGTGATTTTTTTTAATAGTTCTATATGTCTAAGTAAAATGAGGTTTAAATTATCAAAGTATGAGGCTGTCCCATAGGCAGTGTTTGAAAAGTCTCATTTTTAAATCTTCCCCTGGCGTGAATCTCCCACTTCTCCTTTTCAATGCAACCATTAAATGTACTTTGTTTCAACTATTGATGGAGGTTTTCTATATTTAAATATTTATACATATTTAAGAGGATTGTTTTCTTTTGTTCTTTGACACTTCAAACATTGATCAGTGTTAAATACACCTTTATCGATGTTAATCCACCATTAAAAATTTTTGAAGACTGAAGCATTCATTTTAAATCAGTTAACTGTGAAGATTACAAAAGCATGTTTAAAACTATAAACAAATTGTAAATGAGGTTTTAGAATGAAGAGAGAATGGGAGGTGGTGTAAAGCATATATGTTTGTATTTTTAAATAATACCTGTTTGTAATCATGCTATTTATTTCAAGGCATTATGGTTTTTAATCTTAAAACTTAGAAGAACCCCTTGGCTATTTACTTTTATTGGTGTACAGTGTGAGTGCAATATTAACTGTACACATGCAATTGTCATTGTGTTAATAATGTAAATCATAATTTTGAATAGATCAAGACGTTAACTTTTTATAAATTTGCCACAAATCAATAAAGCAGCTTTCTTAAGGAAACACTGAAATTTTCCTTAACAGCCTGTTAATAAAGGCTTTATTTGTTGCATTCTATCAAAAAAAATACTTTTAAATAGGACATTAACGTATTATGAGAAACAGAATATATGGTATTTACTACATAATTTACTTGCCTCTTTCACGCTTACATAGATACTAGGCCCAACAAAACGGAATTATCTCATAATGTTCAGATACTCTTAAGAGTACTAATGAACATGTTACCTAGATATTAAAGCAATTCTTTTGCCTCCCCTGGGATTGAAATGGAGTTCTAGGATTTTATCTAGACAACAGCATGAATTGTTGTGGCTGTCTGGGCACTAAGCTTGTTAGGCCTTTTACTGAATTCATTGTCTACAAAGTTTTTAATTAAGTGTCCTTAGATTTGGGGGTATTTGTGAATCTCCTAAAATTGTGTGTACACTTCTGCTTACATGTACAGTTTTCTTCCTTAGCAAGCAAGGTATGCTTACAAGCGGGCTGTAGACACCTGAATTACACGTTTCGGTAGTGTGGTGGTGGCATGTGTACCACAGAGGCAGTGGCACAGAGGGAGGTGAGGCATGGCAGAGAAGGGAGTGATGAACAGGGATCATCTCCTGGAGGAGGAAATGATGCCTAAACTCCACAGAACAGGAATAACTCCAAGGGAGAACAGTTCCAGGTCAACAAGGTAAAATGAACAAAAGCAAGGAGGCAGGAATCTGCCCTTTATATGGAAGAATTGGGACTAGCTGAGCAGTACTAGTACATAAAAGTTGAGGTATGCCGATGAGAATAGAAGGGTAAGCAGACAAGTGACAGGAGGCTCAGGAGCTTCGACTTAACCACACAGGCCTCTAAATTTTATATCCCTGATCATAAAGGAAAAAGGTACACCTATGCAACCAATATTCAGATAAATATAAAGTTATAAAACATAGAACTCTCCACTCAAAAGTTTTGTGTAAATATATAAAAAGTGCTAAGACCACCCTCCCAGGCTTCCACACACCTCAATGGATTATCTTTTTTTTTTCTTTTAGATTTAGATTTGTTAGAAACACTTTTATTACAAGTGTTTTTCTTCATTACATGCATTACAGAAAGAATGGGTATCATTTTCATGCACTGAAATAACACTGCTGAACACAGCTTCAGCTAGCTTTGTAGGAAGTATCTTTATTATGTCCTCTTAACATGCATTACAAAATGGGTGGGTATCACTTCCAGTCCCTAAAATGACACTGTGCTGAACACAGCTTGTAAGCAGCTGTGTTAGAAACATCTTTATTATAAGGGTTTTTTTTTAATTGAAATTTGACATGTAACATTGTGTAAATTTCAAGGTGTACAAATGTGTTACCTTGATACATTTAAATATTGTAATATGATTGCCACTGTAGTGATATTTATCACATATAATTATAGTATAATATTGTCTATATTCATTATATTATACATTATCTCTATGGCTTATTTACTGCTTGTTGCAAGTTTGTACCCTTAACGTCGATCTTATCCCTCTAAGCTCCATCTCCTGGTCACCACCATTTTACTGGTTTTTGAGTTTGACTATTTTAGATTCCACATATGAGATCATGCAGTCTTTTTCTCTGACTTATATCAGTATAATGTGCTCAAGGTCCCTTCATGTTGTTGCAAATGGCAGGGTATCTTCCTTTCTCGTGGCAGAATAATATTCTATTGTGTATATATACCACATCATTTGTATCCATTCATCTATTGATGGGCATTTAGGTTGTTTCCATATCTTGGCTATTGTGAATAATGCTGCAGTAAACCTGGGAATGCATATATTCTCTTTGAAATTCTTTTTTCATTTCCTTTGGGTATTTACCTGGAAGTATGTTAGCTCGATTTTGAAATTTTTTTTCTTTTTTTTTTTTTTTTTCCCTTACGTTATGCGGGCCTCTCACTGTTGTGGCCTCTCCCATTTGCGGAGCACAGGCTCCGGACGCGCAGGCTCAGTGGCCATGGCTCACGGGCCCAGCCGCTCCGCGGCATGTGGGATCTTCCCGAAACGGGGCACGAACCCGCGTCTCCTGCATCGGCAGGCGGACTCTCAAGCACTGCGCCACCAGGGAAGCCCTCGATTTTGAAATTTTTGATGAGCCTCCATATTGTTTTCCATAGTAGTTGGACCAGTTTACATTCCCACAACAGTGTACAGTTGACCCTTGAACAAAAGCATTTCTGCATTCAGAGATTCAACCAACCTCAGATTTCACTGAAAAAAAATCTAAGTGGATCTGCACAGTTCTAACTTGTGTTAAGTGTCAACTGTATAAGGGCTCCCTTTTCACCACATCCTCACCAGCACCCGTTATGTCACTTCTTGGTGACAGCCATTCTAACAGGTATGAGGTGTCTTATTATGGTTTTTATTTGCATTTCCCTGAAGATTAGGCATGTTGAGCATTTTTTCATGCACCTGTTTGCCATTCTGATGTCCTCTCTGGGAAAATGTCCATTTAGTCATGCCCATTTTTTAGCTGGATTGGGTTTTTTTGTTGTTATTAAGTTGTATGTATTGTTTACATATATTTTGGACATTAAGCCCTTATTTAATATATGGTGTGCAAAAATTTTTCTCCCATTCAGTAGGCTATCCTTTCATTTTTTGTCTCTTTTGCTGTGCAGAATTCTGAGTTTGATGTAGTCCCATTTGTTTTTTGCTTTTGTTTGTGCTTTTGGCGTCATGTCCAAAAAATCATTGCTAAGACCAATATTAAGGAGCTTCTCCCCTTCTAGAAGTTTTATGGGTCAGGTCTTATGTTTAAGTCTTTGATCCATTTCAAGTTATTTATTTTTTAATTATGATTTCTGTTAATATATTCAAAGCAGGACTTTTTTGATTACATTATCAAAAATTGCCCCCTCATCTCATTTACTATCCAATTAGCCTATTTTATTCACAGCACTTATCACTATTCAAGTTAATTTTTGTGAATGGTGTTAGATAGGCATCCAATTTCATTGTTGTGCATGTATTCTTCTCTGGTTTCCCAGCACCACTTTTTGAAGAGACTATTCTTTCCCCATTGGGTGTTCTTGGCTCCCTCATCAAATATTAGATGACCACTGGGATTTAATTCTGGGCTTTCTATTCCATTGGTCAATGTGTCTGTTTTTGTGCCAGTACCATAATGTTTTTATTACCGTGGCTTTGTAATATAGTTTGAAATCTGAACGCATGATATCCACAGCTTAGTTCTTTTTTCTCAGGATTATTTTGGCTGTCTGGGGCTTTTTTGTGGTTCCACAAAAATTTCTGGATTCTTCCATGTAAAAGAATGCCTTTGGCACTTTGATGGGAACTGCACTGAATCTGTAGATAGCTTTGGGTAGTAAGGACATCTAGTAAAGTCCTCCATTGGATTCTTCCAATCCATGAACATAGGATCTCTTTCCATTTGTGTCTTCTTTGATTTCTTTCAGCAGCCTTGTAGTTTTCATTGTACAGATCTTTCATTTCCTTGGTTAAACTTTTCCTCAGTAGTATATTGTTTCTGTGCTATTTTGAGTGGGATAGTTTTATCAATATTTTGTTTTCAGATGCTTCATCATTAGTGTAAAGGAATGCAACTGACTTATGTATGACGATTTTGTATCTTGGAACTTTACTGAAATGGTTGATTAGTCCCAACAGTGTTTTGGTTGACTCTGGGATTATCTATATATAAAAACCAAATCATCACAAATAGAGACATTTTACTTCTTCCTTTCTGATTTGGATGTCTTTTTAAATTCTCTTGCCTAGTTGCTGTAGCTAGGAATTCCTATACAATAATGAATATGAGTGGTGAGAGTGGGCATCATTGTCTCGTTCCTGATCTTAGAGGAAAAACTTTCAACTGTTCTCCATTAACAGCTGTGGGTTTATGGTACACAGCCTTTATTATATTGAGGTATATTCTTTTTTTACCCAATCTGTTAAAGGTTTTTATTATGAAAGGATGTTGTATTTTGTCAGATGCTTTTTCTGCATTTATTGAAATGATCATGTAGTTTTTCTTTCATTTTATTGAAGTGATATATTATTACATTTATTGATTTGCATATGTTAAATCATCCTTGCATACAAGGGATCCCACTTTGGTCATGGTATATAATCCTATTTGTGTGTCCTTGAATTTGGTTTGCCAATATTTGGTTGAGAGTTTTTGCGTCTATATTCAGCAGGGATATTGGTCTGTAGTTTTCTTGTATCCTCATTTGGTTCTGGTATCAATGTAATGCTGGCCTTGTAGATGACTTTGGAAGAGTTCCCTCCTCCTTAATACTTTGGAAGTGTTTGGAGGAAGATTTGGTTCATTCTTCTTTATATGTTTGGTAGAATTCACCACTGAAGCCATCTGGTACTGTAGTTTTCTGTGTTGGGATTTTTTTGATTTGATTTGATTTTTTTTCAGTTCCTTTACTCATTACTGGTCTGTCATGGAGATCTCTCCTCAGAAATCTGGGGTGTCGCTGAAAAGCAATGGGACCCTCCAACTGCAGCCCACAAGCTGAGTAGACTTATACTTACCCTTTGCCCTTTCCACCTCTGCTGGACAGGTTGCTGCTGCCGCCACAGCCAGTGTCACCACATCTCCCTTGGCTCCCTAGCCTCCTTTGAGGTTTCATTCACCCAATTTCAGATACACAGATGAATCTCTCTCAGGTCTCCTGGTATGCTGTGCAGAGGCACTTGTGTCTAGTTATGGATGTCTGATTCGCTAGAAGTCAAAGGGAGAGAAAAGGAAGCACTGGTGCCACCGTGATGCTGATGTCTTCACTAAAGGATCATCTTAAAAGCACTCCACTTTGGAGACTCCTGCAAAAGGTAAAAGGAAACCCCTGGAAAGTTTTAAAAGGAGAAGTGACAGATTTGCACTTAGATTGCTCTGAATGGAATTTAGATTCTGAATGGAATTAGATTGCTTTGAATGGAATTTCAAGTGAATATGAGGGTATTAAGACTAGAAGTTTTAAATTCTTGAACCTCTTTAATCATCTACATTCTTTTATGTGGCATCAGACCAAGATGATAAAGGCTTAAGGGAGGGAAATGGTACAATGCACAGAGAGAATGGATTTATAAAATATTTGGAATAGAAAACTGCTTTAATACTGACAGACTGGTCACTTAAATACTGTTATAAATTTTCTTATAACAAATTTCAATGATCAAATCATTTTGGTACCAATTTTGCTAATACTGGATGTACTAACAATGGAAATTATACTTACTCATTGCAAAACCAAGAGCAGGGCAAAAGGTTCAGACTAGTGAGTTAACAAGTGAAAAAACACTGATTTTGAGTATTTGATTTATCTGATCAAACTGAACATTTCCTTTATAGCAGCTGCTATGAAACACCCCTTTCCTCAAAAAATTCCAAATAACATTTCTGCAAAAGAAACTTAAGGCAAACAACTTAGAACAAGGACAAAGTTTAAAAGTCAGTTGAAATTTTCTTTTAATTAAAGACCCAAGGGACAAGAAGCTCCTTTGTGTTACAGTACATAACATATGGCTCTTATACAGAGTAAAATAGACACCAGGGAGTCAAGTGTTTATACCAGCGCTGAATTCTTACTGTAGCAGCCAAAAAGTGAAGCAGGATTTCCTTTACTGGCATTGAGACTGTAATACATTTTTACATGCAATAAATTCTTTGGTAGACTTAATCATTCAGTGGAATTACAGAATTTGCAAAGGAAAGTAACAGTCAAATATTTCATGTAAAATTTGAGCACAGTACTTCTCACCATATGCTATTTATACAGACTTCAGGGAAAATGTCAATCCTACTAAACTTTTACATACTGCCTCAAAATTTGCCAGTTAACTTCTCTGTGTTCAAAAAAAAAAAATGTAACTATAATAAAGTAGGGCAGATAATGAGTTTTTTAAATATGTTTCATGATGTTTCTAGTAATTGTGCAAATGGAAACTAATCTGAAGGATGTGGAATTCTTTGAAATCCTGGACGGCTACCACTTTCTCCTCTCCATCCTCCTCCCAAGCACATCTGTAAGGCATCATTTTGGAACAGCTATCTGATACATCTTAAATTAAGTACATAAATAATGACAGCAATAATTTTCAACTATTACTACAACATAATATCCTCAAGACTTTGCCTTATTATATGAAGAACATGAGTTTTGAATGGTGAAAGTAAATCACTTACTACAAAAAGGAAAAACCCATGATGGGCAAAGGAGCATCAAGTGATCTTGATTATGACACTGAAGCCCAGTATGTATAATGCCATGAATGTCAGTATTGGTTTGGTTTGAAAACTGATGCTCCTCCTTCTGTGCAATGAGTGTTCTTCCATCAAGAAGTGTATTTCTGAAGTAGTTTGTGTTTTGATTTTACCACACACCAAAATTTCTGAGACAGCATTTTCCTTTTAAAATCAGAAACTTGTTCCCACTGTGGATCCAGGACTGAAGCATTTTAATGTTCTTTGGGTGACTTATAAGATTAGTGTCATAATCATGTAATTACATGTGGGGGTTATTTCACTTAAACCACCTGCACTGCTACAGTTCTAAACTCATCCTAGAGAGATTTAAAATAAATAAAGTGACTTAAGTTCTCTCACAGATGGGTTCTATATTCAGAAACTTTCTCCTCATGAAGCTGCCACTGTAATCAGAGTTCATGGCGATGACCGATGGCCCCATCCAGTAGCCCTCTCACACAACAGTCTGTACAGGAGTGACACACTGTGCAGGAGAACTGGCTCTCTCCGAGGATGAGGTTGATCGGTTGGAAATTTCTCTCTGTAGTTCCTCTACTTTCTTCTGAAGCTCTGCTCGTTTAGCAAGAAGTTCTTTATATCTGTTGTGAATGGGTTCCTACAAGAGCAGCACACCCTAAAATTATTTAACTAGGCAATCCTAAACAAACCCAAAGTCAAGTCATTCCAGTATAGCACTCCTTCCCTAAATGCTGCAGTGTGTGTGTTTTCAGCTATGGGGACCACACCCACCTTTCCAGAACATCAGTGAAAACTAACTTCAGGGACTCCTCTGACACCACTGCTCTTTTCACTGGCTTCCCTAGTGCCCCCCATGTGTTTCCACAGAATACCCTGAAACTGGTACTTAGCCAAATACAACAAATAATTAACAATTTAATCTAAAAGCCAATACTCAAAGATTTCCTGTCATTTAATTGCAGACTTTTTAGTCTTTTAAACAGTTCTAAGCAGTAAATATTCCATAACATTTTAAAAAAATCAACCAGAATTCTGTTAGGCTTTTAACTTTCCTAAAGCTATTTTCTCCAGCCTATTAAAACAAAACCTCTAGTCCAGCGCCCTCATTTTATAGAAGAGGGGAAAAAAGACAAAACAGAAGTGACTTGTCCAAGGCCAAACAATCGAGTCATGATAAGAATCAAGTGTACTGATTATCCCTATGTAGTGCTTTTTCTACTATGCAATTAAAACTGTTAACAGGAAAAAGTGAAAGCTTTAAATATGCACAGATAATTTTTCTAGCTGCTTTAAAGGGGACGAATGTAATTCATACAACTGAATGGATAAAAACTCATTGTATATTGCAGGGCATATACCTGTGGCTTCATCCGTGGATTCCACCTTACGTAGTATCCCACCCAGAGCTCTAGGTGGCGCATGCTGGCTACTGGATAAAGGACATGATTGGAATAGCTCCCATAGAGAGGATTAGTGAAGTCCTCCAGCTGACTATTTATGTAAGACCACAATGACACAGTCCTTTTGGGAAGATTCTATAAGAAGGAAAAAGATTCTCCATTACATAAGCTAATTATACTTTAGATGGAATTTGTAAAGAGGTATATTGTGTTCATTTAAATTGTTTCAGAGGGAGAGAGAACTCAAGACACTGTGGTGACAGCCCCACTTAGATTAAAATTAGAGGGTATTGGAAAACTGCAGTTCTGCAAAAAGTTAAACAGAGTTACCATACCAGCAATTCCACTCTTAGGTATATACCCAAGAGAAGTGAAAACACATGCACACACAATCCAGTACACAAATGTTCAAAGTAGCATCAGTCATAGTAGCCAAAAAGTAGAAACAACCCAAAAGACCATCAACTGATAAATGGATAAAATGCAGTATATCAATACAATGGATTATTCAGTCATAAAAAGGAATGAAGAACTGATACACGCTACAAATTGAACCTTGAAAACATTATGCTAAGTGAAAGAAGCCAAACACAAAGGCCACACCCTGACTGATTTCATTTAAATGAAATGTCCAGAACAGGCAAATCAAGAGACAGATTAGTGTTTGCCAGGGTCTGAGAGGAGAGAATGGGGAGCAACTACTAATAGGTATGGGGTTTCTTTTCAGTGTTCTGAAATTAATGGTGGTGATGGCTATACAACTCTAGAGATGCTAAAACCCACTAAATTATACACTTTAAAAGAGTGAATTTTATGGAATGCAAATTATAGCTCAGTTTTAAAAACACTTCTTTTTTTAAAGATATAGTGAATCCTATCTGAGGCTCTCAAAAAATGAAAGTATCTTTGGAAGTTATCTATTAATTACCTAACACGCAAGAAATTCTTTTTTTGTACTAATAATTGTTTCTTTTATTGCTGAGTAGTACTACATCATATAGAAATACCACAGGTGAAGGGCATTTAGGTTGTTTTCAGTTTTCAGCCACTGTAAGTAAAGCTGGTATGAACATTTGTGGGAAGAAAATCAGAATTTTGTGGGAACAAAAGTTTCTATTTCTCTAGGACAAACACCCAGTAGTGTGATTACCAGGTCATATGGTAAGTAAATGCATAGCTTTATATACAAATGTCAACTGTTTATGAGACATTCAATAAATTCTTGTTTGCCTACTATGCACGGAAATATTCAGCATGGTACATACTGAAGATGTAATGGTGATTTAAAAATTTAATATCAGTCGTCAAGGAATTTCTAGTCTAGGAAGCACTTACTACATGGCAGTTATTATAGTGTTTTGTATGGTTTATTTTATGTAATCCTCACAACAGTAAGCAGTATTAAGTACTTAAGTAAATAAGTACTATTATCCGTACTTTACAGAAGCCTAAATTAACTTGCCCAACATCACACAGTAAGTCAAAAATCCAAGATCTGAACCCAGGCAGCCTGGCTCCAGAGCAAGCATTCTTTGCCACTAGGCTTTATAGAAAAGCATGAAGAAACTATTTTATTCTGGTTTTTTTTTTTTTTTTTTTTTTAGCGGTACGCAGGCCTCTCACTGCTGTGGCCTCTCCCGTTGCGGAGCACAGGCTCCGGATGCGCAGGCTCAGCGGCCATAGCTCACGGGCCCAGCCACTCCGCTGCATGTGCGATCTTCCCGGACCGGGGCACGAACCCGTGTTCCCTGCATCAGCAGGCGGACTCTCAACCACTGCGCCACCAGGGAAGCCGCAAGAAACTATTTTATAGCCACATTTTTTAGAATGAAAACTGAAGCAGAGGGAGACACTAATCAAGATAATTTAGAATTTCATACATAGGATAGATGTATTTTGAGGAAGACAACTTGAAATGTAATCCTTACAAGGTTTCTTCTAAATAATATCAACCACTTAAAAGTGGTAACTCTGGGCTAGTGGGGTAACAAATTTTAACTTTCTACTTAATATCTTTTCAGTGTTTGAATGTTTTATGGTATTATTTTACAATTAAAAAAAAAAACTAAAATGGCTCATACATATGCAGAATATATTTGGGGAAGTGAGCTGTCCATTCATTCAAATACATTTTTTTTTGCTAATTATATTTTTCTGCACCTGTTTTGATGGATTTCCATCCTGCAGGGAGTAACAGGTACATGGGCACTCCTAAGACTCCACATACTTCAGTTCTCTTTAGGAGACACTGCTTCCTACCCATAAACTCAACTGACAGCTGGCTAGCATATTCAGTCTTGTGACAGAGGTGCTTTAAAATAGATCAGGTTCAGATGTATGGAAAGAAGCATATTACAGCATATAAAATAAAATATAGCTAAAGGAATCATCCAAAAGAACAACTGTTCAGTTGAAATCCATCAGAGGATGCACTCTAGTAGAGAAAGCACATATTAGGGATACAAGGGGGAGGGTCAGGGCTCATGTTTTACCTCTTTTCCTCTCTGCTGTTCACTGTTACAGAGGAATGTTCCAAACAAACAGCTATATAGGTGGTCCAAAATGGTAATGAGAAAATATTCATTGAATTCAAATGCTGTAGGAAACTGCAAAATCAAACACCACAAACACACAAAATTATTAAGACATTTTCTCAAGCATATTCATCCCTGTATACTGGCAGATCCTTTGTAATACTTCTTAAAATTAGGCTAAACAATATTCAGGACTATATATTTCTAAGCCATTATGGCATTATCTGCTTGGTCTTCTGTTCAAAATTATTTTCTGAGATAATTTTTCATAATATCTCCTTTTCTTGTACAGTTAAGTTTGAATGGTCTGATCTTGATATTTCTGCATCCATTTATATCAGTTAAACCTCAACTTGAGCCTAATAAATTCTGACTTGTCTTTCTCTGCCAAAAATGACCATAAGCAACATAGTAAAATGTTTCTTTAAATTTTCAACAACATAGTTTTGTTTCTAGGAATTACACAAAAAAATATTGACGTCTCCAGAAAATGTCAGCAATGCACAAAAATTCCAAGGCAGATATGCAGATCATTTAAAAGCCAACCTACTTATCTTTTAAAGGAACATGCACTCAAACCACGATATCTTGTAATCCAGTACTTTGGCAGCCTCTTTCTAAAAAAAGAAAATTCACTGTCTCTTTAACCTAGGACAAGTGCTTGACTGGATGTCTCGCTATTACACAAACATCACAATTTTGGGGGAATGTATCAAGGACCAATTACAGATCCCAGGAAAGAGGGTAAGGGATTTAGTATAATCCATCCTATCCATCTAATGTTTCAAGAATTATCTGAAAGCTTCTATGTAGGACTGTACCATTTATAGGACTGTGAAAAGGAAGTCCATGAATATTTGGATTGTGGATTTGGGAAATAAATATTAGTGCCAAATTTTTCTTAGAATGATCCCTACCCCATAGTGGAGGAAAACAGTATGAACTGCATGCAAAAGGGACAGGGATGAAAACAACTTTGCCTTGAAGTTTCCTAAATTTATAAGCACGGTAACGTGGCAAATTTATCTTCTCAAACAATTTATCTTCTCGAACAATTCATTCTTGAATAATAACTTTTGTGGCTGTGGAGCAAATGAAGCAGGTAATAAAGCACATGCCAACATAAAGCCAATCAATTGTAAGAAACTTTGTCAAATCTCATTCATTCATTTACAGAACAAATCCCATCTCCTGTATTGCTGGGTTTTTTTTTTAATTTTTTACTTATTTTTGGCTGCATTGGGTCTTCATTGCTGCATGTGGGCTTTCTCTAGTTGCAGCGAGCTGGGGCTACGCTTCATTGCAGTGCGTGGGCTTCTCATTGCAGTGGCTTCTCTTATTGCAGAGCATGGGCTCTAGGCGCACAGGCTTCAGTAGTGGCACGCAGGCTCAGTAGTGGTAGCTCACACGCTGTAGAGCACAGGCTCAGTAGTTGTGGCACACAGGCTTAGCCCACGGCATGTGGCCTCTTCCCGGACCAGGGATTGAACCCGTGTCCCCTGCACTGGCAGGCGGACTCAACCACTGTGCCACCAGGGAAGTCGCCCCATCTCCTGTACTGATACACACTCTTAACAGCCTTATTTATTAGCCAACCATGAATGCACCCTGACTCATTACATAGCAAGCCAAAGGAGCTAAGCCTATGATTAGTCTTTCATCTTTGTGGCAAAACTATTATCTCAGTTATGAGAAGATGGCTTAATCAGTGATCATTTCCTCACAACAAATCTAAAATAGCATTATTTTAGAGCATTATTTAAATAGAGTACTAACTGCTGCTATTGTTTTTAAAATTCTGAGCAGAGGAGGAATATTTTGTCTCCTTACATGTTTAAACTCTAAAGGGCCCTTTATCAACTGCTTCCTGATCCCAGGACTGAGGGGATGAGGATGAGGGCAGAAGGAGATGTAGAATCTGGCTAATTACATTATTGGTCCCATTTTAACAAATTTGCTATTTAAATCTCTGCACATTCAATTATTCATAAAACTGATGATTGCCAATAAACATTATTACTATCTAACACATTAAACGCTCAGGAAGAAAATATCATACAGAAAAATATAAGCAGACATTTACAATAAAAACTTACAATTATAGTGGTATTTTAAGTTCTATCAATGAAACAAGATTAAACTGGTATTACATTATTTATTAACTTAAGCTCAAAATTAGAGTTAAATTGCTTTTAGATATACAGCATATAAAAAGTTAACACAACTACTAAGAAAGAAATGCATTTGTCATGTACTCTTCTATGTGAACAATTGGTAAATGTGACTGATTTTGTTTTTCTAACAAATATACCTGAACTAACAGTTCACACACATTGCTCCCTTCAAGGTATGTTCCCCAGAAAGCAGTACACTTAACCATCAATGATGACTTTTGTAGTCCTTTGATATGGCATATTTGATTTTTTACCAACACTGTCAAATATTACTTAAAGATTGATAATGGTCAAAAGTAGGTCCTATTGTTTATGGTCAAACACCCCCCCCCAAAAAAAAAGATTGATAAGGATTTGTAATAGCTAATATATCGAACACTATCTCAAAGGCAGTTCCAAAGGAAAAATTCAAACCTACTCCAAGAAGCAGTAAACATTATTAAACTAATAAGCATGTTGTGTCTCTCTTCCCCCTAGTATGCCAAGGGCCTAATTTGTAGAACAAAACTGAATTGTATACACATTTGCATCACATGTGTTAAAATACCAGCCTTAACAAACGGTAGTCATATCTATTACGACACTTCATTTAAGCCAGCAGGTTTCAAAACAATCCACCCAAACTGAAATGCTTATGGGAGAAAAATAAACTATTCAATATGTAATTAATGTATTTCACTTGAGGATCACCATTTTTCTCTTAATGAAATAAAGAGTATTTTATTGAAACCAGAACACAATCCTAAAGCCAAGCAGAGCCAGCAACTGCCCTACTTTATATTCCTGTGGCAGTCTAATGAAAAACTAACCAGGCTCCCAGTTGTTTGAGGTCTAATAAAACTCTTGGATAAATAATTAACTGAAAAAAAAAAATTAACTGATACACCAATGAACTGTATCTAACTTTTGGGTTCTGAGATTATTTTTCCTGAGTTAAACATTTTTAAGACACCAATTCCTTGCCTCATTAGTGAAGTGATCCCATAATAAATCAGATGTCTTTCAATCTCCTCTGCTATCTTTCCAAAAGACTAAATCTGTTTACAGTAATATTTCAAATTGTTTGCTAGAATGTTGATTAAGTCTAAAAAAACATAATCTCTCTCTCCATACCTAAAAACAAAAAGAACTGAATCTATTACATATATACCTTGCCATAATTTCCATCTAAATACATTTTTCCATCGAAAGTGCTTAAAATATGATTTCATTTCGCTTGAGTTACCTAGCCTATTTCATTTCTTTACCTCCTTTAGCAATGTACAGATGAGTTTCTGGGTGAATATAAAGCCATTATTTAACACTACTTGTCCAAAACAAAAGAGGAAACCTCTCAGGGGTTATTATCAATGCCATGCATTGAAATGCTAATGGAATCAAATTGTCAAGTGTTTAATACTACCTCCAAATAATATAGTTTAACTTAATTCATAATGTAATAATAGCTAATCGTTCTAGTACCTAGAAAACTTACAAGAATTTCCATTTTACATGAAATGTAAGATAATCAGTGATCAAATCCAACTCTAACTGGACAGCTTAAAAGAGAGATGTAAGAATGGATATCCCAGATAAATTACCTGTCTTGTCATTTGCCAGACACAGTCAATAAACTGAAGAAAAACAGGTGATCTGTCTGCATCTGCATGGTTTTTATCTCCATGGCCAAGTCTCTGAAGCAAAGAATGAAATATTATATGAGCTTTGTGGGATTTTTCAGCTTTTAATGAAAGTAATTTTATTTTCCAAGAAAAGTAATATTTGCTCAATATTTTAAAAAATTCAGAATATCTTTTTAAAAGAGCACTGCAAGGAAAACAGAAATTACCATAATCCCACCAAGGAGAAATCTCTATTAACATTTCAATGTGCAAACTGCCAGGTTACTTCCTAACATGAGACACTTGTAACAGGAATTACAACTCAGTTTAATAAATAAAACTCAGATCCTAAAAGGTTGATAATGGGACACAGGAGCAGCCAGACCTCAGAGCCCAGATTTTTCTTCTGGAGATTTGGCCCTGAATATTAACAGTTCCTTGTACACTAGCTTCAGGAAGCACCCTTCTCCTTTAACACCTTGGCCAGTGCATGAAGGGGACCTGTTGCATCTGAGTTCCAGACTGTCTTTCAAAAAGAATCACATTAGCACAAATCTTTGAAAACTTTTAAAAAATGCTTGACATCTCCCCTCAAGCATGCACTCACCTACTTTCTCAATTTTTTTTTCTCCTCTGAAGACTCCTGCCCCCAATGACTGAGATAAACCTCTACTCTGTACCCAAAAACAGTGATTCTAAAAGTATGGTCCACAGACATCCGGCAGCAGGGCAGGTCTGTGAGTTCAAAACTATTTTTATAATATTACTAAGACATGGTTTGCCTTTTTCAATGTGTTGACATTTGCACTAATGGTGTTAAAGTGATGAAGAATAAAAACTTTTGGTACCTTAGTAGGAATCAAGAAGCAAGGCATTGAAATCAATCTATACTAGCAGTTATTATATTCTTCCTTGCCAAACACGTGCAGTTAAAGAAGGAAAAAAAAAAGAAAAGCCACTCTCTCTTAAGCCAGTTTCCTTGATGAAGCAGTAAAAGTTATTAACTTTATTAAATCACCCCATTTGAGTACAAAATTTTTAAGTATCCTATTAACAAAATGGGAAATACACATAATATGCTTCTGCTGCAGACTTAAGTAGGATGGTAGGAAACACAGCTTTTTCATGGAACATCATTTTGACTTGAAAGAACAATATATGAACTATGATTATTAAGACTTGAATATCTTGCAGACATTTTTTTGAAAATGTACACAAGTGAATGCATCACTTCAAGGAAAACAATGGACAGTATTTGTTACCAATGATACAATTCAAGTTTTTGAGTGGAAATTAGATTTGGGGGAAATTTTTATCTGCTACAATGAGCTTGATAATACTGTTCTGATAAAATCAGTAGCAGTATTAACAAATGTGACTATATTATATAATGAAATGCATTAATATTGGAAGGGCTGTGTAAATCAGTAAGCCAGTATTTTCCAAATTACCAACACTTGATGTTACAAAATCATGCATGGGTAAGAGATCTATTTATTCAAAGTGCAAGAGAGACCAAAGGAATTTAATAGAACAAACAACGAAAAATTCATTGAGTTAGTTTTGGATTCCACATTACAATTAACTGCTAAGAAACTACCATTTGTCGAGTTTTGGCATAGTATCAAATAAAAATATCCACAATTCCCTGAAAAAAATACTCTCTATTTTTCAACCTACATATCTGTGTATGGTCAGATTTTCCTCATTTCTTCAACCAACAGAACATATTGCAACAGACTGAATGCAGAAGGAGACATGAAATTCAGCTATCTTCTATTAAGCCAGACATTAAAGAAATTTGCAAAAAATGCAGAATAATGCCACTCTTCTCATTAAACTTCCTTATGTGTTTTGGAAAACATAGCTATTTTTCTTTAAAATGTTATTTATGTTAATATATAATAGTACTATGGTTTGAATGTTTGTGTTCCCCCAAAATTCACATGTTGAAATCCTAATGCCCAGTGTGATGGTATTAGGAGCTAACTAGGTCATAAGGGTGGATTCCTCATGAATGGGATTAATGCTCTTATCAAAAGAGACCCCACAAAAAAAAGAAAAAGAAGAGAGACCCCACAGAGGCCCCAGCCCTCTTCCACCATTCAAGAACACAGCGAAATGTTGGCAGTCTGCACCCCGGAAAAAGGCCTTCACCAGAAGGCCATGCTGGCACTCTGAACTTGGACTTCCAGCCATCAAAACTGTGAGAAATATAGCTGCCCAAATGGACTAAGAAAACAGATTTATTTCTTTAAATAATATTTAAATATTTTAAATTTAATTTCTAATATGGTAAATACTGATAGATATAAACAAAGTTCTTTCGGGTCATCAACAATTGTTAAAAAAGGAAAGAGGTCCAGAAATCAAAAAGTTTGAGAATCATTACCCTGTATTAACCATGTGAGCATACCCTCTTGATCAGATGTCCTTTAACTGTCAAATTCTGCTTTCAGATAACAACTAAGGGGGAAAAAATGGAGTAGGTAACCAGATTCAATAATTTAGGAATCCACTGCAACTTCAAACAGTCTGAAATATTTATGATTTTGGTTACATTTATATGAACATGTACAGCTTTGGCTGACTAAAACTTCATTCTTCTTTTTTTGCGGTATGCAGGCCTCTCACTGTTGTGGCCTCTCCCGTTGCGGAGCACAGGCTCCGGACGCGCAGGCCCAGCGGCCATGGCTCACGGGCCCAGCCGCTCCGCGGCATGTGGGATCTTCCCAGACCGGGGCACGAACCCGTGTCCCCTACATCAGCAGGCTGACTCTCAACCACTGCGCCACCAGGGAAGCCCCATTCTTTTTTTTTTTTTTTTAAATGGTCTTTTCATGGTAAGTACGTTTTATAGAGAATTGAAAAACATGAGCTATTTGAATAGATACTCCAGATGACCAATTTTATTTAACAGTTCAAGTTCAAAAGAGCAGACTACCTTTAAATGGACTACCTGTCCATTTCTTGCAAGTTTTTTTATGAACACTGCTGGTAGCTACTGGATACTAACGGTTAACATTAGAGGCAGCATCTGAGCAAACATATTTCAGAAAGTCTTTCAGCTAATCTAGGAAAATGCTGCCAAAAATCACACTCTCAGGGGCTTCAAGGCCTCTGAACAATCTTAACTCTCATCTCCAGATTTTCTAAACCTGCCCCTCCCTCGACTCTACTCCAGCTACACTCAGTCCCACCCAGTGTGAGACACTCACACTCACCATTTGCTCACACTGCTCCTCTTTCCTGGGAAAATTTTCCTGCTCCGCACTCTCTAAATTCTATGATTACAACTAACATATACCACGGATGGGCATACATGAGAACCAAGGCCTACAAGGTAACTGTTCCCAAGTTTGCTGATTCCAAATTTAGAGTTTAGCAGAAACACAGCTAAAAACCACTTGAATGTTTATTTAATTAAAAGCTACATGAATCTAAAGTATGTTGTAACAAAAAGCAAATACAAAAGCACAGTATCCTTTAAAAGGGACATAATAACCCCATTCCTCTATTTTAGGAACTACTACAGTTTTGGGTACCACACTTGTAGAAAGCCATGAGCAAAGTTCAGAGGACAAAGGGGAGGGTGAGGGGATTAGGATGAGAAAAGACTGAAGAAAACGGACATTTTGCCAGAACTGAAGATTATGACTGACACAGGAAGACAGCTACTTCCAAATATTTGCAGGGCTATTTATTTGGATTAGTAGTCATATTTGTTCTTCTTATCTCCAAAGGGGAATGTAAGAAAATGAGAAGTAAATTGTAATTCACTATGAAGAAAAAGTTTGTAGTAGGTAGACTTTCTTCAGTGAGACTTGACAGCCTCAGGAAGGGACCTGCTGCTTATTTCTGGAGGTGTTAATGAAGAAACCAAACAACCATTTCACGGGGACACCAGAGAAGACATTCCCTGGACTCTGAGGCCCTTCCAACTTTTAGATTTGATACGAATGACAACATCAAAATAAATTTTAAGTCATATAGAGGGCACAAAATTTGTCATTTCCATAAAACTAACTGCAACACTTTCCATACATATGGTCATTAAGGGTAATAGCAAAGCTATTTTATTCCCAACTCTAAATTATTTTTTCTCTGTTATTTCTTTTAGTCCCAGTCTAAATTGTTTTAGACCCTGATCCTGTGTGAGTAGTGCTACTTTGTAGGGCCACTTTAAATTAAGAATAATAGGCCAGTCTCGCGTTTTTTTAAGTCTACAGGAAAAGCTAGAAGCGCGCTGTAGCTGCGTAACAGTCCATGCTGCTCTGAACTATCATTTGAAGGTAGAAGTCACAGAAGGGTATCTCCTATTCCCGATAGAGAGTATGGAAGAGACTGGGCCAGGAGCCTGACAAACAGCTAACCCTGGCTCCAGACTGCAGAGCCACAGCAGGATAACCCAGTGCTTCCAAAACAAGCCCAAAGTTCTCTTGGGAAGTTTACCCATTAGAACAAAGGATCCGATTTAGACGAATATCTAGTGAGTAAAGGCATGATTTTCACATGCCTTACATGATATGCATATGTGATACACTGAGTCATGGTACTTTACTCACAAGCTGAAATCGATGTCCAAAGCTTAGCCACTCTTTTTCTACAAGGACTTCAAATCCTCGGATGGTTCGGTAGTATCCATCCAACATGAGCATGGCCAGGGAGGTCAGCTGAGCTGTGCGATCCCAGCCATCACTGCAGTGGACTACCACAGACGTCTTTCCTGACTCTACTTTGTCAGCAATCCTAAGAGCCCCTGCGAGAATAAGCTGCAAACAGATTTTTTAAATTAATTTTTTAAAAAATTAAATGCTTCCTTCTTCAAAATGTACTAATAAAGTTTTGTTTAGAGATGACTGTCTCAATATCATGTGGAGAAAAAAACATCAGTCCCTTCCCAAAAAGAATTTTTGTGAATGGTAGAAGATACATAAATTTTGCTTTTAAAACTAAAAAAAATCTCATAAATGCAGACTCCTATTAATCTGCACAATGAAATATCCAAACAAAAGGTGCCTTTGAGTTCTAAACAAATCAAAAATATGAGTAAGAGGTAAGTTCTAAAGAGATCTATTTCTGAGAATCTTCAAATATTCCAACATCATCCATTTAAATAAAAATAATACACCAACTTTAGTCTTACCTATTATTTGAAACAATGATACTTAACCAAATTAGAATATGAAAGCCATAAGGTTGGATATTTTAAAATATTCTACAGCTTCTATAGCATTTATTCTACTGTTTTTATATACATCATATAGCATACAGCAAGCACAGTATAAAACTTCAGAGTAAGCTGCTTTTTTTGTATCAGTATGAATGGAAAATTCTGATCAGACCAATATATTACCATGTCAACTTAACTGGTATCTAAAATAATTTCAGGGTTTTTTTTTTAAATATGCAGAGACTCTGCAAAATAATTTACCTTTTCTGAAGCTGATCTTGAGTTAAAACTAGACAGAATTAGATGTAACCAAAAAAGAAACACAAAGTATGATATCCTTTAAAATGAACAATATAGCCACATTTTTCTCTGCAATGGCCAAATCATACTTAAAGAACAGCATGATTACACAAACATAGATAAGAATGAAAGAAAAGATATACTAGGCTTAGAGAATCTCATGACGACCTCCTTTTGATTATAACTGTAGGCATATTCTGGAAGTGGGGTACTCTGAAGCAATCTCAATCTTAACTATGCATCAGAGTCATTTGTGAGCATTAAAAAAAACAAAAAGAAACACCTGGTGCCCATTCTCCACTAATCCTAACTTACTATTTTAAATAACTTCTACCTAAAATTCAAATGTATATCCAAACTTACACATCACTGACCCAAAGGATTAAAACACCTGGAGAGTTAAGACTGACAAGAAAGAGTTATCCAAAGTGGTCATCTTCATTGATTCATTCATTCATTCATTCATTCAAAAGATAAACATTTACAGAGTCCCCTACCATGTGGCAGGCACAGCTCCAGGTGTTGGAAATAGAGCAGCAAACAGAACAAAGTGTTGGCTTAACGAAGTTTACATTCTACTTAGGTGAGGCCAGCCAGGTGCAAATAAGGAAAGAAATACACAGTGTGTCAGAGGGCAGTAAGTGAAAAAGCACCATCTAGGTCTAGGGAGTGCTGGCAGAACTGCTATTTTATATGGAGTGGTTGGGAAAGGCATCTTTGAGAAAGTGATTTTTGAGCAGAGATTTAAAGAAAGTAAGTGGGTAAGCCTTGCAGATGTGAGGACTGGGGGAGGAGAAAGTGGTCCAGACACAACTGTACCTCTTAAACTTCTAAGGAAACTTATTTCGGTTATAGCCAGATTTTTTTTTTTGCGGTACGTGGGCCTCTCACTGTGTGGCCTCTGTGCTGGCAGAACTGCTATTTTATATGGAGTGGTTGGGAAAGGCATCTTTGAGAAAGTGATTTTTGAGCAGAGATTTAAAGAAAGTAAGTGGGTAAGCCTTGCAGATGTGAGGACTGGGGGAGGAGAAAGTGGTCCAGACACAACTGTACCTCTTAAACTTCTAAGGAAACTTATTTCGGTTATAGCCAGATTTTTTTTTTTGCGGTACGTGGGCCTCTCACTGTTGTGGCCTCTCCCGTTGCAGAGCACAGGCTCCGGACGTGCGGGCTCAGCGGCCATGGCTCACGGGCCTAGCCACTCCACGGCATGTGGGATCTTCCCAGACCGGGGCACGAACCCGTGTCCCCTGCATCGGCAGGTGAACTCCCAACCACTGCGCCACCAGGGAAGCCCTATAGCCAGATTTTTCGAGAGAATGTTGTACCTGCTAAAAATTGACCTGGAACTTACAGAATGCTGCAATTTACGTTAGTTCTGAATCAAGTCTTATGGTTTTCTACTTATACATCATACAATGTAATAGATGGTCCCGTGACCATTCTCTTTAACAAAAGAGTGTGTACCCACTTTGCTACATTCAAGCTTCTATGTTTCTAGAAGAGAAACAGTAATCAAAAGTCTATAATTGTCATTAGGTCAATTTAGCTTTCAATTCTGTCTTAGTTTTAGAGGTTTCAATGTGAGTACAATCTGCTCCTTCTTAACATGAAAAATCTCATTTCCATTTATTTCATAATATGAATATATGTGGTCATATATATTATAGAAATCTATATTTTGGTAAGGTATCTTACTGAAATTCAGACACTATCTGAAAATATTTGTAACTATATTAACTGAAGTAACATTTGGTGCTTCAAACATTATATATATTGGGCTTCCCTGGTGGCGCAGTGGCTGAGAGTCCACCTGCTGACGCAGGGGACACGGGTTCATGCCCTGGTCTGGGAGGATCCCACATGCCGTGGAGTGGCTAGGCCAGTGAGCCATGGCCGCTGAGCCTGCACGTCCAGAGACTGTGCTCCGCAACGGGAGAGGCCACAACAGTGAGAGGCCCACGTACCGCAAAAAAACAAAAAAAAAAAAACAAAAAAAAAAACATTATATGTATTAACATATTAGGCAAGCTAGGGTTCACACGGTAGTCTCCAAATCATTTAGCATTCAAATGGTATCCTTCATTTAACTGTTTCACCTCATGTGCCTGACTAGAATGGTTTCCACAAGCCATGCAACAATTATTTATTGAGTGCTTTATTCATATCATATAGTGCTGCCCTGGCTCCTGAGGGGACAAAGAAGAAATATGATTTAGCCTGTCCTACTCTCCATGAATTAGCAATATATGTTGGGTGACACGTAAAAGTAATTAAATCAAGTGCATGGTAACACCTGATTAGCTGGAAAGCAAAAGTTAAGTGAAAAGTTCAGAGAAAATGAAAACAAATGCAATCTGGGAAGACTTCATGGAAGAAATGAAATATGAGCTGGGATCTGAAGGATGGGCAGAATTCAGATAGGATGGGAAAGAGAGGGAACAAAAGAAGTACAACTGAACCAAATGCATAATATAGAAAATTAATTCATTCAGGCACCAAAACTTAAAAGTAGTTCTAATTATCAAAGCAGTTATCAATTTTTCACTGTTTAAAAAGGTACTTTCATCTTGATTTCAATTGTAAGAAAAGAGCCGATATAGACAAAAGGGCAGAAAAAGTCCTTCTTTGATATTCTATGATAGTTTAAAGAAATAATAACATACCCACCTTAATGTGCTCTAGCCAGTGAGTAGATTCCAAGTTAGACAACCAGTGGGTCTCCTCAATGTTGGGGTACACAATCTCCTTAAGTTTTCGTAAAGATTCTCTCATAACATGGATATTGTGGATATCTAGAAAAACTAGTTCTGCATTTTGATAGGCATCTTCACTTTCATAACCTCCACCTTTTGCCTGGGAAAAAAAAAGCAAACATCACAGGAAATCATAAATGAATGCACATCCATTATATGTTGACATCCCCAAGAATGCCACAAAATACCCAATAGAATCAAAGATGATACACATTACTGATGGATAGGAAAACTCCATGGGAAAATGTGGCTGGCTCAAGGCAACTTAACACAACCACGCTCTATCACATGTTCTTCATAAAACAAGAATATACTCTCACCCTGACTTCCTTTTGTTAAAATTATATGTGATAACATAAATGAAGGTAAAATTTCCCTATCCATATTTCAAGTCCTACTCAAACATAATTTCATAAAGAAGACTGAAGTCACCAGACCAGCAAACTCCATGTGCAGGGACTAGTTTACCCCTGGCCCATGCTTCTTCACCTCCCTTCCTCTTCACCTCATTTTAATCTTAATATTTGCAAAGTGCTTTGCAATCATAGTGACTGGCTTCTATTATAACCACACAACTACTATTAAACAAAAAGACTGAAAAAGTATAAAAGCACAGAGTACTATAGTATATAATACTATCACTATTTTCAAAGATGTAAATCTACAAGTACAAAACAGAATGAGAAATATTTGGTGTTCACAATAAGCTATGGCTGGAGAACTAAATTTTTCTGGATTGAATCTTTCTCTATTTTAAGAAAAAGATATTCTCCTACCTTATGTATAAAATATGCATCCTGTCTTATATATAAAATCATGCTTCTTAAAGCACTAATGGAAAAAAAATTAGGAAGATACAGGAACAGCCACTGTAGTTATACAAAATTAAGAGATTACACCTTTGAAAACAACAAAACTCACCTCTTAACCAACAACAAATTACCAAAGGAAGTTCAAGTTTCCTTTCTGACACTGATAGTCTAGGAAATAGTTTGGAGTTAAGAATGGTACAGGTACAAAATTAACAGTGTTTCATTAGGTACCTGTTAACACGGATTACTTCTGGAGAGTGGGATAGGACAGGCAAGGGGTAAAGGGACGTTCAAATTTGTTGCAACAAATCCTAGAAACATGGCAGTAGTAGCAACTACACAGAACCTGTCACAAAAACACACAGAATGAAAATGCTCTGGAATGAGATAGTTATACAACTTTATGAATATAATAAAAACACAAATACATACTTTAAAAGAGGGCATTTTATGGCATGTGAATTATATTTCAATATAACTGACATTTTAAAAAATAGAGCAACTAGATAGTAAAACCAAAAACACACAAAACTCATTCAAGACAGAACTGGAGGACAAAGCATTCCATCAAACCCCAAAACCACCAATAGTCACAAGATCTAGATGCTATCGGCGAATGTGTGAAGGAACAAATGGATATAAGATGGACTGGAGAACAAGAGATTCACAAGAGAGTCTTAGAATTTGTAGTGTTTGTTCTGCTTCCTTGTTTTAGCTTTCTTCCTCCAGAACTACAGGAAAGAACAACAGATCAATCTAAGAAGTACCACTGAAACCAGGATGGGTTCTGTCCAGTCTAACAGCCGAGTTATTAGAGAAACTCAGAAATGAAATGAGACTTGGGAACAAATTAGAAATAAAAGAAAAAAAAATCAGAAATAAAGACTAAATTAGAAGAAACTCAAGAGCAAATAAACACAATGGATATTAAATTAAAAGAAAGAGACAGTGAAAAGCAAAATATAAAACCCAAACAGGAATAGAAAGCACAAAAAGGATTCAAGAGAAAGTGGCAAATGATGAAGATAGGCAAAAAGAGCCAGCACAGGAATAACAGGAGTCCAGAAGAAGCAAGCCATACATGGAAATGAAACAAATACTAAGAACTATGAATAAAGAAAAAATTCATGAAATTTTTAAATTGGAAATTACCAATTAAAATAGCATACACACATACTTGATAATATGAACACAAAACATGAAGACATATTCTGGCAAAATAAGTGGACTTCAAAGAAAAAGAAAAAACAAAATCTTTCACAAATCCAAGTAAAAAGAGTGACTTAGAAAGAAAGAAAATTTAGTTTATCATCACACTTTGAAACTTTATGCCAAAAAAAAAATCAACATATTTAAGACATTCAATAAAATCAAATGTAAGCCAAGAATTTTATGCCCAGCAAAACTAACTCGAATATAAAGGACATAAAGCTGCTATCAGCATACAAATACTCAGAATATAGTTCTTATGAGCCTTGCTGAAATATTTACAAGAGAACAACTCCAGACAAAAGAAAAAGACCAGAAAGACATCCATATAAGAATTGGTTATTGGCACAAAATATTTAGCTACTTGTAGAAGTCAGAGGTAAAAGGCAAAAAGTATGTGTACAAAAGGGAGACCATGTAAAGTCTACACATGCTCTGATGATATAAATATAACACAGTTCATTTTAAAATGGGAGCAAATGGAAAAAAACTTAACTTTTCAGTAAATGTACTGGTGACAATACTATTAATACTGTTATTCTAAGACCACGGTAGGATAAAGCAAATGAGTAATTATGTAGCATACTAATGTTATTATCCCCTCTGTCCTTGAGAATCAGGATTTCTGGTGTGGAAGGAAGGAGATACACATGTAACTTAGAAGAAGTTATGTAAAAACTCTAGCACTGAATTTAAATTGAAAGTATGAACTCATGAGGTATAATACTTTATCTTTAAAAACATATGTTTCCTAGCTCTATCCACTGAAGACTTAGAAATTAGACCAACCCAGTAGCAAATAATTATCCTTAGCACCCAGATTATGGTTTGAAATACCATTTCCTACTAACAGAAACCAGAACTTCTTAGAGAAATGGCTATTCTAAGCCTGCGGCAGGAAACATACAAGATTTCCTGATGAGTCTGGTATACCTTGTCATACCATATAGCAAAGATTACTATGGTTATGTCAAAAGAACTCAAGAGATAACTTGAAAAGTGCCCCTCAGACCAAAGGTGGGAATTTTTATTTTCAAAAATACCATCTGCAATGAATTAGAAATTGTTGACTACATATAAATACATGCATTCATAATGACACTTAAAAAAATTAGTCACCCTCATGGGATGGTAGGGAGTAAATTCATTATTGGGAAAACTGATAAATAAGGAAAAAGAATCAAGCATTTATCCTGGCTTTCTTATATGAACTGAACTGCTGGTTAACCAAAATTTAGGTAAGAGAAAGTGTTTCTTTACAGAAAGAGTTCAACTAAGCTGAAAAGGAAATCATGAAATCAGAATATCACCATTTGGCAACCCCAGTGAATTAACACATCTTGGTAAGGAGCATGAACAGCTGCTGATATCCCCAAAAGAAGAATCAGCCACAAATTATGTGCCTCCTGATATATCCCCTATAGCCTTGCCAAAGGAGTTGAACCTGAATCTGAATAAACCTCTGAATTCATGTGAAGGAAAATTCAGAGAACAGAAGAAAGTTGAACCATACCATAGTACAATCGGCAAAACCTGGACTGTGGAAAACTCTACAATAAAATATATTGGAGTGAAGGAGGGAGGGAAGGAGAAAGGAAGGGCAAGGGGAAGACTATAGATGAAGAGAGACTTAAAAGACATATCAAATACAATACTTGAAAAGGCAAGGCTAAGAGTCTAGAGATGTATACACTTCAGTAATAAAAGTATAAAGTAATGTAAGAAGACTACTATAAAAGTTAGGATAGTGGTTACTTTTAGCAGGGGTAGAAGGTAAATTTAATTGCGGTAGGGCACACATGGAAGACTTAGTGGCTAGTACAGTTTTAATTCTTGATACGGCTCATGGTGCAAAAGCAGTTGTCATATTCACACTGACAAAGGTATAAAAAATGTTCTTACTACAAAGGTAAAAAAATACTTGTTGCAACAAGGATGTATACTTTTGCAAATTTTAAAAGGGAGATGGTGGGGATATTGGGTGAAGGTAGTAAAAAAGGGCAAACTTCCAGTTAAAAGATAAGTAAGTAGTGGTGATGTAATGCACAACATGATGACTACAGTCAACAATACTATACTGTATATTTGAAAGTTGCTGAGAGTAGACTTTGAAAATTCACAAGGAAAAAAAATGTAACTGTGTGAGGTGATGGATGTTAACTAAACGTAGGGGTGTGATCATTTCACAATATATGCTTATATCAAATCATTATGTTGTACACCTTAAACATATGCACTTTTCTATGTCAATTATATCTCAATAAAATGGCAGGAAAAAATATATCAAACTGGTAAACTAACCTTCCCGAAGAATGCTGGCAATATGTAACAAAACTTTTAAAAATATGCATACTTTAAACTATGATATAGTAATGGTATATCTACAAAACTATTTTATGGAAATAAAGATGCCAACAAAAGATACTTATTTTAGCTATATTTAAAATACTAAATACTTAAAAACCTAATATTAGAAGAATGATTAACTGCACAATGATACAGCTGTATGATGAGTACTATTAAAGTTATTTCAGGAATATTTCGTGAAAAGGAATAATTCATATAGAAAGGAAAAACAATGAAAAAAAGCAATACATAAATGCACAGAACAGTGGGAGAAAATATACCAAAGATTAGTGATTATAAGTGATTTTTATTTCTTTGCTTTGTCTATGCCTTCCTAGATTTTTGTTGTCTATCACATATCAGAAAAATGTCCCAACAGATAAAATATATCAGAGTCTTTTAAAAAAAGAGAGATTTCTGTAGTGAAATATGCATGGGAATGACTTAAAAACTAAGATGACACCAAGATAAATATTAATCAAACTATCAAAAACTAAATACAAAGAAAAATACATTAAAAGCAGCAAGAGAAAAACAACAAATAACATACAAGGGAATCCCCATAAGGTTAACAGCTGATCTTTTGCAGAAACTCTGCAAGCCAAAAGGGAGTGGCAGGACATATTTAAAGTGATGAAAGGGAAAAACCTACAACCAAGATTCTCTAGCCAGCAAGGATCTCATTCAGATTCGATGGAGAAATTAAAACCTTTACAGACAAGCAAAAGCTAAA